CCAGAGCTAATTCATGGGAATCTATGTCTTTTTTATGTTTAAGAGAAGATATGATAAGATAACCTTTATTCATCCCACAGTGGGGAAATTTCAATGTTGCAGCGCACATTATACAGGACGGTAGTAAGAGCACACAGGGAGCACATAAAATATACAATACAAGTAGTTGCTCTGCTTCTTAGCTAGCTGTAAATGCTTCAATAATAATATATCGATCTATCTGTATCTACTTCTAATATAGTGTAGATAGTGGCATTCAGTGGATATTCAGAAATTGCAGTATTTCACATGATTGCAGTATTTACAGATGAATGACATGTACAGTTTTCAGCAGTTCTCATTGTACAATCTGACAGCAGCAGGAAGGAAAGACCTGCTGCTGCAATAATAAGACAATTGTGGCGTTATGATTAGTACCTTTGCGTCAAAGCAAGAAGGGCCTGGGTTTGTTTCCACCTCCAGGCCTTTCTGAGAGCAGTTAGCGTGTTCTCCCTGTGTCTACGTAGGTTTTCTCCAGGTGCTCCGGTTTCCTCTACCACTTAAAACATGTACAATACGTATGGCAACAAAATAAATACCTACTTACAAAGAGAGTAAAGATTGTGTTTTTAACCTGCTGTAGCACATAGAGATCTGAATGAGCGTCTCTCGTTTTCTTATTCATTGGGTGGCATGGTGGCTGAGTGGTTAGCATCATGGATCTGGATTCTGGGAGGAACAAACCCTTTCTCAGTGGAGTTTGCATGAAGTCTCCCATGATTAATATTCATTTTAAGAAAAGTGTTCATAATGCAGGTCTGGTTGAACAAAAAACACCAAAATCTAGATATAGGCTAGCAAACTCTTCACGTCACCCACAACTAACAACAACACCTGCCTCCCATGCTCTCTGATTTGTCGGCCAAAATTCAACCGATTGTATTTGCTAACATGGGGACCAAACCCAGACGTTACATGCAGAAAAATGATGATTGAGCGGAGTTGTTGTTTTGTTTAATTGTTTGTCTTTTGTTTGTGAAGCTCCGTATTATATACTGGGACAGACCGCTCCTGTGCTGTGTGCTGTCGTTTACAGACCACCCAAGCACAATAAAGACTTTATCAATGACTTTTCTGATTTCATGGCCTCAATGTTGACCCAATATGACAAGATTTTAATTGTTGGTGACTTTAACGTGCATGTGTGCTGTCCGTTAAAACCTATGGCCAGGGAGTTTTCAGACCTGATTGAGGCATTTGATCTGTCACAAAATGTCACTGGCCCCACACACATACATGGGCACACGTTAGATCTTGTATTGTCGCATGGTGTCTCTGTTGAATACGTCTCTGTTGGGGATGCAACTTTCTCTGACCACAGTCCTGTCATGTTTAGCTTTAGATTGGAGAAGGTGGCGCAGTCAGCTCCTGTGCGTAAAAGCCGGGTGATTAAGTCAGACACGGCTGCAGCTTTTGCTCCACTTTTTGTTTCATCCGCTCTTCCTGTATGCTCTTCTCAATGCATGACGACTGAACAATTGATGGATGCTTTCTTGTCCACCTGCACTGCTGTTTTGGACAATGTCGCTCCTTTGAAGGCTATGCGCCCAAATCGACAACAAGAGCCATGGATTAATGACACTACACGGGCTGCGCGGCGGGTGTGTCGCCAAGCTGAGCGCAAATGGAAACATGACCACTTGGTGGTGTCTCATCAGATTTTGACAGAGAGTTGGAGAAATTATCAATGTGTGGTCCGAACTGAAAAAAGCAAGTTCTTATCAGAATTGATTGCGAGTAAAGTAAGTCAGCCTCATGTTCTTTTTAAAACTATTGGCTCTGTTCTTAACCCGTTCCAATCCACCACACTGGAGATGACAAGGGACACTTGTGAAAAATTCCTCTCATTTTTTAATGGTAAAGTCGCTACTATTAGGGGAAATATATCAGTTTTGCCACTTGCTAATGCTGTTGGAGCCACTCTGTGTGCTAATGTCTTTAGTCAGTTTGAGCCTGTTTCACTGTCTGTACTTACAGAGTTTGTGAGCAAATTGAAAACTTCGTCCAGTTGCACGGACCCTTTCCCACCTCGGTTTTTTAAAGAGGTCTGGGGTATTATTGGAACATCAGTCACAAAAATTATCAATAGCAGTCTTCTTTCTGGTATTGTTCCCTCCTTTTGTAAAAGAGCTGTTGTCGAACCATTAGTTAAAAAACCGAGTCTTGATCCAACAGTTCTATCAAGCTATCGGCCCATTTCTAAACTTCCGTTTGTGTCCAAAATTTTAGAAAAATGCGTTATTGCACAGCTGCAACCTTTTCTGGAGGCCAATGGGATTTTAGATACTTTTCAGTCAGGTTATAAAGCTTTTCACAGCACTGAGTCTGCACTTTTAAAGGTTTTTAATGACTTGTTCTTAATGGCAGACTCTGGTAATTCTTCCATTTTAGTGCTTTTAGACCTGACTGCTGCCTTTGACACAGTGGACCATGCGATTCTTTTAAATAGACTTGAACACTGTGTGGGTGTCGGGGGGACCGCCCTTACCTGGTTTGCTTCTTACCTGTCGGGGCGGTCCTTCATTGTTAGGCTGGGGGATTCCACCTCATCTTCTGCCCCCCTCCACTGTGGAGTCCCTCAGGGATCAATTCTGGGCCCCATCCTCTTTTCTCTTTATCTCCTGCCACTCAGTGAGATTTTTAAAAAGCATGGCCTTTTTTATCATTTTTATGCGGATGATTGTCAGATCTATTTTCCCATCGCAAAAAATGCTTATGGCCCCCTGACACCCCTACTCGACTGTCTATGTGACGTCAAGGCTTGGTTGGCCCAAAACTTTCTTAAAATGAATGATAAAAAAACAGAAGTGATTCTCTTTGGGGCCAACCAGGTGGATGTGGGACCGCTGAGTGAACATGTGCGTCCCACAGTCACCCAACCTTGGCGTCACTATAGACAGTGATTTTAAATTTGACAAGCAGGTCAACAGTGTTTTAAAATCGAGTTTTTATCATCTGCGGCTTTTATCCAAGGTTAAAACTTTTTTATCTTTTAACCTTTTTGAAAAAGTTATGCACGCTTTTATTTCTTCACGTCTGGACTACTGTAACGCACTCTACTCCGGTATTTCACACAAGGCACTTCACCGGCTACAGTTAGTCCAGAACTTTGCGGCACAACAGGAAACAGGAACAGGAACCAAAAAGCGCGACCACATCACTCCCGTCCTTGCGTCCTTGCACTGGCTTCCTGTTCATTTTAGAATAGATTTTAAGATTTTATTGTTTGTTTTTAAAGCTCTGAATGGACTGGCCCCTCCTTACATCTCGGACCTCATCCAGATTTACCACCCGCCCCGCGCACTGAGGTCCGAGAGCCAGCTCCAGCTCGTGGTGCCTAAGACGAGACTTAAAACCCGGGGGGACAGGGCCTTCTCTGTGGCTGGACCAAAGCTCTGGAACGCCCTGCCCCCCCACGTCAAAACAGCTCCCTCGTTGGAATGTTTTAAGTCACGTCTTAAGACCCACTTTTATTCTCTGGCTTTTAACACCGCGTGAGTCGTGTGGTCCTCTGTGTTTTTATTTTATTTTATTTATTTATGTATTTTCTTATATAAATGTGTGTATTTATTTATTTGTTGCAATTTTGCATGTTGTGCAGCACTTTGGAAACTGCGTGTTTATGAAATGTGCTATATAAATAAAGTGGATTGGATTGGATTGGATTATCCATTGCTCATAAATCAGGACGTGACTTTTAATTTTTTTTTTTACTATTGTTTAACTCCAGCTCTCACCAAACCGTAACTCACAGGCTCTTTCTACAGAAGATTAAAACAAAAAGTATTGAAGAGAGTTTTAGGTAGACCAGCTTTACCGCCATCTCCCCCTGGTCCGTAAGAACATATACTCAGCTTTATTAGAAAGGGCTGATTGAGCAGGGCCTGCTCCAGGTGCCGCTGTCCGCATCTCTGCCTCCTCCAACGGGACTCGTCCTTTGTAAAGAGGGGACACTGGGTTTTACTGCTCACTGCACAAAGTCAACTTGGGAAATACGTGACGGACAGAACATAACTGTTTACAGACTGCTTTAGCTACAGCAGTGGTTCCAGAGGTTAGCCACTGCCCACCGCCCTCAGAGAGCAGATTGAACTTTGAATTTAGTATTTTTATGGATTTATTTAGCTTAAAATTTGTAACGTTTAGTAACCTTTCTCTTTGTCTCTCTCTCTCTCTCCCTATCTCTCTCTCTATTTCTCTCTCTTCATCTATCTATCTATCTTTGTCTCTCTCCCTATCTCTCCTTCTATTTCTTTCTCTCTATCTATCCCTCTATCAATCTATTTCTCTATCTCTCCCTGTCTCTCTATTTCTATCTCTCCCTCTATCTATCTATATCTCTCTCCCCCTATCTCTCTCTCTCGATTTCTATCTCTCTCTCTATTTCTATCTCAAGCTCTCCCTCTATCTATTTGTCTATCTCTGTCTCTCTCTCCCTATCGCTCTCTCTATTTCTATCTCTCCATCTATCTATCCCTCTCTCTCTCTCCCTATCTCTCTCTCTCCATTTATCAATCTGTATCTCTCTCTCTATCTCTCGTTCTCTATCTATCGTTCACTCTATTTCTCTCTAGCTCTCTCTAATTCTACCTCTCTCTATCTCTCCCTATCTTTATTTCTATCTCTCCCTCCATCTATCTATCTCTATCTCTCTCCCCCCATCTCTCTCTCGATTTCTATCTCTCTCTATCTGTCCCTATCTCTCTCCCTATCTATCTCTCTCCATTTATCAATCTGTATCTCTCTTTCTATGTATCTCTATCTCTCTCTATCTATCTATCTATCAATCTATCGTTCACTCTATTTCTCTCTATCTCTATATTTCTTTCTCTCTCCACCTACTGTATCTATCTCTATCTCTATCTCTCTGTCTCTGTCTCTTTGAGTCACATAAAATATAACTCGTGTAATGTTACAATGTCTCGTTAGTAATAATGTCTCTCTGTGTGTTTGTTTTGCAGTCTGACAGTAACACCAGCTTCCTGCGTGCGGCCAGAGCGGGCAACATTGACAAAGTTTTGGAATTCCTCAAAGGCGGAGTGGACATCGGCACATGCAACCAGGTGGGAACCAGATCCACATAGTAACAACTCAAATGGTCTCAATGTGTTTCTGAGGAAAAGGAGCTTGGAGGATTTTCAATGACTTTTGGTGTTGAGTATGTCGTAGTAGTAGTAGTGGTAATAGTAGTACATGTGTCGGTGGTAATATTTGTAGTAGTGGTAGTGGGGGTGTTAGATATTATAGTCACATATAGTAGTAGAAGTAATAGTAGTAGCAGTAGTAGTAGCAGTTGTAGTAGTAGTAGTAGTAGCAGTTGTAGCAGTAGTAGTATTAGTAGCCGTAGCAGCAGCAGTAGTAGTAGTAGTAGTAGTAGTAGTACTAGTAGTAGAAGAATTGTGAGTGTTGAATAATGGTAGCTGTGATAGTAGTGGTGGTAGATGTAGTACAAGTTGAGCCACACATAGTAATAGTAGTAGTATTTATAGGAGTAGAAGTAGCAGTACAAGTTGTATTAGTTAAGAATGTATTTGCCATTTGCAGTAAAACCACATTGGAAAGACTGTACAAGACTACCCCAGTGTGCACCAGACGGCCATTTTCCGGTGCATGTAGTAGTAGTTTTGGGTCCATATCATTGAAATCATTGTAAGTAGTAGTAGTAGTAAGTAATGTTTATTTATATAGCGCCTTCCACAGACCAGAGTCACAAAGCGGTTTACAATTGTTATTTTTGGGCATTTGTCTCTCACTCCACACAGAGATGGGAGCGGGGCCAGTACAGGCAGGTTATGTCAGACCTATTGCACATGTTTTTAGTGATAGGGGAAACCGGAGTACCTGGAGGAAACCTATGCAGACACGGGGAGAACATGCAAACTCCACTCAGAAAGTCCCTGTTGTGGCCGGGATTCAAACCTGTGACCTTCTTCCTGAGAAGCGAGAATGCTAACCACTCAGTCACTGTGCCGCCATGATAGTAGCAGCAAAGTAGTAAGAAGTCATAGTCATTTAGCAGTAGTAGAACAGGGATCAGAACTACTGCTACATTTCTGTTTGGTTTTTTGTGTGACTTTTTTTGGGCAATTTTTAGAAAAAATAGGTTCGTACTGTATGTTTGACTGTTTGCTTCAACGTCCTGCAGCTGCCATGTGGGATTAAGGCTCACAAGGCTGTCGTCATTCAGAACTAGTTACTGTTTCTCTCCCATCACTGACGCCTCCATCTCCAAAACACTCGAGCGGCCTCATCTCCGCTCTCCGCTGTGTGGGATGACGGTGCATTTGTGGAGCGCCTGTGCCTCCATTATCTGTCTCCTCTCGCCTCATTAGCATTCCAGACTCAGAGGTGAAGAGTCTGTCCTCACAACACGACACAGACCGGACTATCCTGGTCCTGGTCATTCTGCACTGCAAAAAATGAGATAATATGAGAGTGTTTTTGTCTTAATTTGAGCATATACTGCCTTTAAACAAGTTTTGCCAATGGGACAAAGCCATTTCGTTTTATTTCAAGAACTGTGGCTGTATTTTCTCTTTCCAAGGGAGACATTTCTTGTATCTTTTTAAAACAAGATCCTTTTGCTTTGTCCCATTGGAAAATCTTTTTTTTAAGGCATCAGAATCAACTAAAATTAATTTGTGACTTTTTTTCATCACTTTTTGCAGTGTACTTTCACATTTACAGGTAGTCAAGTCAACAGTTGAGATTCTGTGATGCATTGTGGCCATAGTTACCATATCATATCATATGTTATATTACCATATAGTAATATATATATATGTACTGTATATTCTAATCTAGGGTTTCATGGACCTGACCTGTAGAGGGCGAATGAGCCGTTGAAAACCATGTAAATCTTGTCTGTATTGGAGTCAAAAGGCTCTCCTCCTGTGCGGTGTACAGTTGTTGTAACAGTCTTAATCGGGAGGGGGACACTTAATTCTTATGGAGTACAAACAAATATTTCTCAAAAAAGTCTTGATATTGGGCATTTTTGGAAAATATAACAGAAGAAAATGCTGCGTTTCATTCGGGTGCCACTGCCCCGACTTCATATGAATACAATATAATACAATACAATTTATTCTTGTATAGCCCTAGGTCACAACAGAAGTCATCTCAGAGGACTTAACAAAACCATTGAAATCACCCGCTAGCTCAATGAAGCCCAATAAGGAAGTGCATTGCTACTATTGTAAAAATAAACTCACGTGGCTCTTTCCTTCAAGTATGCAAAAGATAAAATACTTTCTTATAAAACATAGGCATGTCGACTCTTTCTGTCGAGGCAAACAAAAAGTTAGGTATCAGAGCTTTAATTTATTTTAATGACTGCGTTAGTACCTTGGGGAATCTTAGAGGAGAACTGGTTGCTTTGTCTTGTGATGGAAAAATGAAATGGAACCAAATCAACACACATTAGGAAGATTGAGAAATGAAATAGATGTTTATTTTTGCTTGTCTAGTGTAGTTTTGATCATGTGATGCGATGTGGCGGCCTTATGTAATTCTAAATTATAGGCTAATTCATACATTTGAATATATTTCTACTGGGACTGGTTTCATAACACACTATTTTAACCAGAAACACACTGGGATTAAAAGTACAGCACATACTGTCGCCTCTCCTTCTCCCTCCCACTCTCTCTCAGACCATATGTACAGCACGTACAGTAACTCATTTATTGTGTTGTGTGGGAAGAAAGTGCATTATTAATGAACAGTAAATAGCTACATTTTTGTTACTGCTATTTTGATGAAGCAGTAACAACAATGAAAACACGCAGATTTGTGTTTTAACATATGATCCATTGGTTGTTCTTTAAGCAGTTGCTATTAGTTAGTATTGAAATGATGGCAAATGTGCTATTTCAAAGCAAAAAATGATAAAATAAGAGGTTATAAAAGCTTGATTCAAAGCCATTTAGTCTTATTTCCAGAGCTGTTGCTTTATTTTCTCAAAGGGAGACTTTTCTTTTATCTTTTTTAAAAACAAGATCATTTTGCTTTGTCCCATTGGCAAATCTTGTTTTAACACAGTCAAAATGTGCTCAAATCAAGATACATTTTGCCATATTTGAACAATTTTTGACTTTTTTTCATCACTTTTTGCAGTGTAGTAGTTGTGGTAGTTTTCATCATTTTTGCTCTAGCAGAAACAATAAAACAAACATGTAAATTTGTGTTTTACCTTGCTTTGAAATAACCTCCTGCTGTTGTTGTGTCCTTGGCAAGACACTTATCCTCTAGGAAAATCAAGTGCCACAGTGGGGCGGCTGCGGCTGTAAAGTGCCAAACTGCCGTTGTGTCCTTAGGCAAGACACTTCACCCCCATTACCTAGAATGAGTCTGGTGTGTGTGTGAATGGTTGGTGGTGGTCGGAGAGGCCGATGGCACAGACTGGTTGCCTCGCTTCTGTCAGTGTGCCCCAGGGCAGCAGTGGCTACAGTATTAGTTTATCACCACCGTGTTCGGAGTGAATGAATAATGACATAGGCGTCTTTGAGTGTCCAAAAAAGCTCTGTATAAAACCAATGCATTATTATGATTTATGTGTTTGAAATTTTTATCAGATATTCTTGAAAGGTCAAAGTATAAATCATGTTGTCTGAGTGCAACTGGGCTCAGAGGACCAGGATGTAGTATTTTCATTACAGTGATGGAGGATGTAGCCCACTGACCTACTGCTAAAGGCTTCTTGGGACGTCCCATCAGCGCTGGTGGGACATAAATACATTTGTGATGGGAACCTCGACGGACTGGACAACCTCCTCTCCCTGCTGAAGCATTGATATGAAAATAGGAATGTTCTGGAAATGAGCAAAACAAAATGTATCTGGAATCTATTAGTTGTAATTGTAGCAACACAAATGGTTATTATTAAAATTATTAGAGTCTGAACGTAGTCTACTGTTTGGGAATCGTGGGCGTTGTCTTTTAGAGAGTGTGTCGTGTTTGATGGTTGGACAAAACAATTTAAAAAAATGTATAAAATACAATAAATAATAAATGAATAAATTCATCCATCCATTCATCTTCTTCCCCTTAATCCATTTCTGGGTCGGGGGGGTGGCAGTCAGAGCTGCACCCAATTCACATAGCACCAGCCCCTCACTGATCCTCTGCAGGTGGTGAGTCCACAGCACAGGAGGACGGCTGCTCTGTCAGTGACAATACAGCCTTGATTTTTCAGCGGGGGCTTCAGGCAATGCAGGGTTAAGTGTCTTGCCCCAAGGACACGACGACAGCAGTCATCAGTGGGAGTCGGTGGAGAAGGTCCCGTGGTGGGCTTGAACCCTCGACCTTCAGGCTCAAAGGCCAGTGCTCTACCAACTGAGCTACTGTCGATAAAAATAAAATATAACAAATAAAATCAATATAACAAATGAATACAAAAAATAAATATAAAAATTAAATAATGACATAAAACTAGAATAAATAAAGCAAAGGAAGGTTTCTCACCCATCATCGTACTTCTTAGCAAGTTTTCCCGACGTTTCGTCCTCAATCCAAAGGACTTCTTCAGGGAATGAATTCTCGGACCGCGCGTTGGAGATTTATAACCTATGGGTGTGGTTAGCCACACCCTAATCCTGATACTAACTCATAAACAATCTACGGTCTGCTTGATGTAGAAGGGAGCAGGTCTAACGACCCTGCTGAGGCTAACGACCCTAACTCCTTAGCATGTCACAGACCTATTGTCTGCTGGGATGCTCAAGTGGAGTGCGGGTTTCACCCCTCCTAACTCATTAGCATGTCACTGACCTTGTCCCAAGTTAGGGCGTTGTTTTTAGGATGTCGTCATAGATGCGAGGCAAAACAAATCTTAACCCTCCTCCTCTGTTAAGAAAAGGTTACCTTCTCTTAGTATCAGGATTAGGGTGTGGCTAACCACACCCATAGGTTATAAATCTCTAACGCGCGGTCCGAGAATTAATTCCCTGAAGAAGTCCGCTGGTTTGAGGACAAAACGTCGGGAAAACTTGCTAAGAAGTACGATGATGGGTGAGAAACCTTCCTTTGCTTTGACTAATCCCTGTACGACTGAGGGCTTACACAAACTTAGAATAAATACATATTTTTTAAAAATCCTCATCCTCCACATGCTGTTAACAAAGCACTATAATGTTTTTTTTTTTTTGGTTTCACAGTAACAATCGTTTTTTTAGCTTGTTTTATTGTACGTACTTGTCTGCTGCCCACTTTAGTATTCCAATGTGTTTTTAAATGGCAAAAGAACTGAATCTGAATAATGAAGCGGGCTAACGAGATGCTATTTCCTCTGTTAGCATTAGCATGATGCCACGGCGGTTCTCCGTGTGTGACAGAATGAGGAGAAACTGATAAATGTGTCTCCAGAGGAAACATGTGACACTAGAGGTGACTTTACATTCGGTGAAAAATGGGCATAAATCAAACCTTTGCACAGATTATCTATGTTCTGTATTCTAACGGTAGCTCAGGGCTCTTCTAAAACTAAACCCTGTTGCCGTGGTGACCTGCAGCTCCAAGCCCATGGGTGTGATGTTATGTAGACTATTTTTTTCTAATGAGTTTAAGCACTTTAGAGAATTGATTTTAAGCTTTCATCTCAGTCAGTGCAGTCTGTGAAATAGAAATACAGAAAGTGAAGCCTCTAGTCGATATTAGTTTGATATTATACATATTATTCAGACAGGAGTCCACCCAGGTCTAGTCCCATATCTCCTGCATATTTCATACCATGCCTCTATGACAGATAGCAGAGTAAGAATAAGAACTATTTTTAGACCAGATACTACTGTGTCACAGCCAATAGGAAAACGTTGCTAGTCAAAATAGATAGAATTTTAGAAATAATAGTTGGACTGCATTTATTAAGTATTTTGATAATGGATTAGTTGGAAGATCATGCTATTGATTAGTTTGTTAGAACACGTAAGGCTGTGAATGTGGGGTTTTTATCATCTTTCACCAACCAAGGAATCAATAAATTATCTATCTCTATTTGTTTTTTTTTTTTTCATTTTAGGGTGACATTAGTCTGGCTTTAGACATCTGTAAATTTCGGTCAATTATAATTTCCTACATGTACGTCTACGTATTTTATCCTAGTGGCTGCAGTTTCCTCGGTTCAATCCAGATCTTAGTACAGTGGCTCAGTTGGTAGTGCATTGGTCTTGGTGGTCATGGGTTTGATTCCCCCACAAGCCCTATTCCATCTGCTCCTATCAAAGTTTGCTGTGTCCCTCCCTGGTACAACTCAAATTGGCCTGAAGACACAAGAGACACCAAAGACCAAGACCGACACTGACAGAGCAACCATTGGACCTGACAAAAATGAATGAATGAAAAAAACACATTTCATTTTCCGGTCTCTCAAAATGTTTTAGCCTCAGTCTCAGCGTCACAGATGCAGCTGCAGCGTACCTCGCACAGGTGCAAAGTTTACATCATACACACCACCACAGGGCCGTGGTGGTGGTGGAAAACAGAGACCATGACTCAGCCACTCACTGTGTGTAGAGCTGAGGACAGGAGAACAGAGCTGGGGAGTTGTTTAAGGACAGGATACACACGGGGGACTTTGCACTTCTAAACAAATGCAGTGTGTATCGCAACCAGACATGGGGAGAGAAAAGCCACATGGAAGAAAAAGTTATAGAGAAACAGCTAGTGATGTTCATTTATATAGCACATTTTACAGACCAAGTTCACCCAAAGCGCTTTACAATTGTTTTGGAGTTCAGTTTTCCATTTTCTCCACACACAGTGATGACAGGAGCGAGACGCCGAACAAACTGGTCCATCAAAGCCTCCGACCAAACACCATCCATTCGCTCACCCATTACATTCATACTTATTGTGCATGTTTTTAGAGGTAGGGGAAACCGGAGAACTCGGAGGAAACCTACGCAGCTACGGGGAGAGCATGAAAACTCCACTCAGAAAAGACAACGTTCAGAGCAGGATTCAAACCCAGGACCTTTTTGCTATCCACTCAGCCACCGTGCCGCCCCAAACCACAAAGTTATTTAAATTGGTTTAGCAAGACTGAAAAACCAGTTTGGTATGACTGGATATACCATTTGTACTCTGTTTATGCTGGCCTATAACCATGTATAAAACCGATCCTATTGAGACACGGCCACCAGATGCATTTGAGCACACAGGGAGAAAGTCATGCTTGTATTAGAAATGTAGTCACTCATTTTGACAATTTCCTCCTCCAATCCCGAGGCATTCACAAGCCAAGTGAGATACATAGTCCCTCCTTCGTGTCCTGCGTCTTCCCCCTAATTTTGACTGCTTGTATCCGCAAACTTGTCCTCATGACGAGAGGTGAGAGTGGTGAGAGATTTGCCTTTCTACTCCGTCATTACGATCATAACAAGCCTCTGTTTGTTATAATGCTGATAAATGGCTCACAGCTTGTAAAAAAAAAAGTGAATATTATGAAACTGGATTATTAGACAGACAGTAAGCATCAAATGTAGAAAAGACATTGGCTTGGCATATGTCGCTCTGCATGTATGATTCTTCTTCTATTGGTTCCACACTATTAAAGAAATAAACAACTTGAACAGCCTCTATGCTTCCTTTTTAGTCTTATTCTTAGAAAGATAATTTTTTTATTTCTTATTTCTTTCTTGTTCATTGTTATTTTGTTGTTGTTGTTGTAATGACCTAAATAAATACTAATACTACAACTCTTTGCGCCCCCTTATCTTGGGTCATACTGGTGGGAAACTTCCTCCTCTGCTCCTTTGTGACTGTGACCTGGTGTTTTGTTTTTGTTTTTTTCAGAATGGACTCAACGCTCTGCACCTGGCGGCCAAAGAAGGTCACATGGATCTGGTGCAGGAGCTGCTGGAGCGAGGAGCCAGCGTGGACTCGGCCACTAAGGTACTACTCACGTTGGTACAAGAGGATCTGTATAGGCCATAAATGTTTTTAGTGATAGGGGAAACCGGAGACCTGTCAAACTCAGGCTCGTGGGCCAAATCCAGCCCGCAAGACCATTTTTAGTGTCCCCAAAATTATTTTCTATTATTATTATTAACTTGCATCATTGATTGTAACCAAGGGATACATCATCTACTTTCTGAACACATAAGAAAATGAACAAACGCCATATTTTGTCCAGTTTTGGTTAAATATAAACACTCATTTAGTTTTCAGTAAAATCAACCAGAAAAAAAGAGTAAAGTCATGAAAAAATACCTTCATAATCTAAAAAAACTATTATAAGAAAAGGAAATCCCTTCTATTCTTTCGGCCCCGACCAGTTCCTATTTTCTTTATTCGGCCTCTGACCAAAATGAGTTTGACACCTCAGACCTTTCACTGTAAACCCTAATGTCATTCTTACTTTAGATATCACAGTTATTTTAAATCGATTTTTTCTCTGTAAGCAAATATTACTTGTTTATTGTTGTTTTATTTAAAATTTGGCTTTGAATTGAGCAGAACTTGCCAAATATGAGTTGAAATCACTCATCAAACTTTATTGAAATCTACACATTTCAACTTATACTTAAAGTTAAAGGAGCAGTATGTAAAAATCTGGCCAAAGGTGGTACTGCAGCCTCTCCCACTCTCTCTGGATCAGGTTGCCAGATATGCAGATGAATCCAGCTGGGACCATAATATCTGAACAGTCAAGAGTTTTGTCAACACCTTTTTCACAAAGATAGAAATCCTGGTTTTATTCCATCCATCCATCCATTTTCTTCCCCTTAATCAATTTCTGGGTTGGGGGGTGGCAGTCAGAGCTGCACCCAGCGCACAGAGCATCAGCCCTTCACTGATCCTCCTGCAGGTGGTGAGTCCACAGGAGCTGAGATCTTTCAGCGGGGGCTTCGGGCAAATTGGGGTTAAGTGTCTTGCCCAAGGACACAACAACAGCAGACATCAGTGGGAGTCGGTGGAGAAGGTGTCGAGGTGGGAAACAAACCCACGACTTTCAGGCCTAAAGGCCAATGCTCTACCAACTGAGCTACTGTCACCCCAAAGTTTGGTGTAAAGTTTAGTTGAAGCAGTCAACTGCTACTGTTATGATAGCAGTCCCTGAGTTGACTGCTGCATACGTCATTGTACTGACGGAGGCCAATGACGCGTCCTGTGACTGGTCTGTCGGGTTGATAATAGAAATAATAAATTGAATTTAATGCATGTATCGTACTGTAATCAATATGATTAACAATAGTGTGTTCAAAATAAATATTTAATTAAATCGACATTCGTGTCTTAATTTGTTTGTAACTTCCAAAGCAATTCATGGAGTTTATGTCCGCCATCTTGGTTTGCTTCGGCTGCCGTGAGACGCACATGCACAGGTTTGCATTACATCATTAACAGCTGAGGCGGCACAACTCTGCAACTCGGCAGAACACCGGGACCTACTGTCTAACCGCTAACCACTGTGCCACTGTACCAGGATTAAGTTTGAGTAGTTTAAATTTCACATTATGGAGTATATGTAGTGTATGTTACTTATCCACAGCGATCATACAAGCTGGGACCAGAGAGCGATGAAACTTGTGACATATTAAAACTTGTGCACTTGTCTTTTCCTCTAATCCAAGTAGATCATGGGTCGTGTGGAGAGTCCTGGAGCTGAGCCCGAGGGAGAGATACCTGGAGTAGTTGTGCGTAAGCCGCTGGTATCTCTCCCTCGGGCTCAGCTCCAGGACTCTCCACACGATCCATGATCTACTTGGATTAGAGGAAAAGACAAGTGCACAAGTTTTAATATGTCACAAGTTTGTATTCCAATGTGGTTTTAACTGCAAATGGCAATTAAATTCTTGTATCTTGTATCATGGAATAGTAGTAGTAGTATTAGTTTATTTGAGGAGTTTTCAGTGTACATATCATTTCAAAGAACAAAGCTCAAAATGAGAAGGCAGAAGGTAAAAGTGCCTTCTCCATTATCAATTCTACATTCAAGCGACTTGCTAACAGATTCAGATTTTCACGACATTTCCGATTTTTACCATAATCAAAAACAGAAATAGTTATCAATCTATGTTCCATATTTCACCGCAATAATAAATGTTTTTTTTTTGTATTTTGTACATATATATATTTTTGATAATACTAAGACGTGTGGTGCAAAAAAAAAAAAAAAAGATAATAATTGTGTTGATTTGTGTGTGTTTGAATGCAGAAAGGGAACACAGCCCTCCACATAGCTTCTCTGGCCGGTCAGGCTGAAGTGGTGAAGACCCTGGTCAAACGAGGCGCCGATATCAACTCACAATCACAGGTGCAAATACTCCCAGAGCCGTCATTTTGACTGCTCTCATTCAAACCAATGGGATTTTGCTCCAATTACTCCAAAATGTTTCGTTATTTGACAGTATTTAAAGGAAGTCATTTATATATTTTTTTCATGATCTGCATCCATAACTAACAATATATGTGGGTGTGTGTGTGTGTGTGTGTGTTGTTGCAGAATGGCTTCACGCCGCTGTACATGGCCGCTCAGGAGAACCATCTGGACGTGGTGCGGTACCTGCTGGAGAACGGAGGCAACCAGAGCACTTCCACAGAGGTACTGCAGGGGGCGCTGTGGCTCCGCACACACAACACACTGCCACTATGGAAGGAGCCAGGTCCTCAGAGCTTCAGAGAATATGCTCACATTGTATACTATATGTGCCCACGCAGAAACTTTTTTCTTGAAGCTGTTGAAGTTTGTAAAGGTTAAACTTAGCATGACTTTACCGCCCACTGTCAGGTTGAGTTCCAGAAGTTTCTGCGAATTATAATGAGTTTGTAGAAGAGAGAAGACTACAATATTATGAGATTTTTCCTGATTTCTCTACACAAAAACATTAGAAACTACTCATACTAATCCATTCAAATCAACGTATTTTTGTTCACAACAGCAGTCGTCTCAAAGGCCACTGCAGAATTGTTGATTTGTTAGCACCTGATTAGAAGATCAAGCAATTAGAACAAATGAGAAATACAACAATAAAAGCTATAGTCATCGGTGCTTATATAACAAGTTTAATAATGTTTATAATCTGCTGTTGGTTTAAATTCAATTCAAGACATATGTTACATCTGCAGTTCCATGTGTTTGAATCACAGACAAAAACTCCAAGACACTCTGACAGTTAAAGTAAAAAAGGCCTTTTATAGTTTGACCCAAACTAGTGGCCTCGCTTCCTCAGGGCAGGTGTGGCTACAATAGTAGTTAATCACCGCTGTGTGCGGAGTGAACGGATGATACCAAAGGAAGAATCTTTAACTGTCCAAAAAAGCGCTACAAAAAAACTATTTATTATTATTTGTATTCCTTGCCCTTCTCGGAGTCCAAATCCAAATTGATCTAAAACTACTTGAAAATTGCAGCCCTATCTGTGAGTGCTCCTAGTTCATGAAAACATCATAACAACAAAGTGCCTCTATGGCAGCAGGTCATGGCAGAAATGAGAATTCAGGCAAAAATGAGCAAAGAAATCAAGGCGTTTTGAATTCTGGAGAATAAAGGATTCTTTCTTTGTGGCTTCAAGTTGAGATTGAGAATAGATGCATCCATAACTCCCTGGTACAAAAAGAGCCACCAGCAATGTCAAATGTATTCTTCCGTTTTATTGTTTATACCATTTCTGCTGTAATATTTTTTCTATTGTAGTGATTAATTGATTAATTAGCCAGATACACTGCCTTTAGTGCTATAGCAAGACCATGCTAATTTTCAGGACATAAATGCACACATTTAAAATTTACAAATATAAAATGAATCAAATGTACAATTCCTGAAACGTTTTTCCGTATTTCAGCCACAGTTTAAAACATACAAACTTAACTCAAAAGCTTGCGTCTGTTGCGTTTTCCCAGGACGGCTTCACTCCCCTGGCCATCGCCTTGCAGCAGGGCCATAACCAGGTGGTGTCTGTTTTACTGGAGAACGACACAAAGGGGAAAGTGCGCCTCCCCGCTCTGCACATCGCCGCACGCAAGGACGACACCAAATCCGCCGCGCTGCTTCTCCAGAACGACCACAACGCAGACGTCCAGTCCAAGGTACGAGAAAAACTGTCCATCCAGGGCTGAGGCTCCTGATGCTCCAGTGTCCACGAACTAACTCTATCTGCTAAAGTTTATGAAGTATGAAAATGTATCTCAGAAATTGTCCATGGGTGTATAGATGACCAACAAGTTTACAGCAATGTGAATCCTGTCTGGATGTTATTGGGATGACACACATTCCAAGCGTTTGTGTCCGGGAAGGAAGCAAAAACAAAACTGCTTGGAATCTCAGTGTAGCCTTTTGTCTTTTCTTTACGTCTTCTATGTCTATGTAATGTACAGTATCGGTGTGTCTCCTGATAAAGTATCCAGACAGAGGTTCTTCGTCTCACCGCGATGATGTCATATGTCCACTCTGCCCCTTTTGTTTCCCTGGGGGGCGCATCCCAAATGTCTTTCCTCGTCTCTTTTCCTCTCACCGATTCCGCCATTTTTGCTTGAGGAATCGAGGATGGAAAAGGGCAAGAGAGTGACTTGGAACTCGCCCCCTGTGTGTGTATGTACTGTATGTGTGTGTGTGTGTGTGCACCCGTCCTGTATGACTAACCCTGTCTGTTTTCTCCTCCTCCCGCTGCACCGCTGTCTAAGTGTCCACTGCATGGAGTGTGCCACTGTCTGCAGGTTGTATGGGCCGAGCAAAGGCTGCATGCCCAGCTAGGCCACACAGAACTGCATCCAATTTGTGTCCCATACAGAGAAACTCAGTCTATTATGAAAAAGTTTGAATGTTATTACTTGCCAATACTATACAATATAATATTACAGTTATATTTAAGGAGATTAATGGGATGCCACCGCTGTTTGGGTTTTTCTTTAGGGGCAAAATCTACCACTGGAAATGCATCCTTAAATAAAGCTCCTGACAAATTATGAATCAATTTTGGATTGTCTTTCTATGTATGAAGCACAAACGTGGTTCTGTCTGGTCTGGCTAGCATGCTTGTGGGGTTATTCAAATTAAGGGAGAGGTTTACATATTCTAGTATGTGGGATGGAAGTGCGTACGGTTAAGTCTAAGTTAAGTTCTAACTGTTGTAACGTGCATTTGAGAGCTGTTTTCAAATGCACTGGGTTTTAGGATTACTTTGCACAGACTGGCAACAAGAAAGCAGTCCTATAGAATAAATACATTGAATCACAAATTGTTGACCAAGTCCTTAGACAGTGGCACGAGTATCAACAGTTCAAAGAAAGAATTGCACTCTCAGATTGCAGACGTCAATTCATTTATTTTCAATGTTTTGGCCACAATGCCTTCATCATATAATCTTCTTATAGATCAGTTTCCTGTCTATGTGTGGAAACATGTATTTTAAATGAAACTCTCAGTCTGAACGCAGGCACAGGATCTATAGCTAATAAGATAAAGAAGAAAAACATTTAAAAACCTAATATGACGGATTAATGCAATGTACAGCAGCAATACATGAAAATATGTAAGTAAGTATCAAAACTCAATACTAAAACTAGTCTCAAAACTATATAAAACCAATCCAAAATCAGCAATTAGAAATATTCACTGTGGTATAAAAATCAATATTGAGTATTTCTTGCAGCATTGAAAGCGACTTTGAATGTTTTTATCCGGACAACATAAAATAACACATTTGCGGCCATGTGTATTCTCTCTATGACACAACTATAAGCCTGAAATATAGATGTAACTTGGCCTGCCACTGCATTTGATGATATTAATCGATTACAGACAGGGAAGCATTTGATACTAACATAAACATAACCATTAATATCGAATGGTTCCGTGAGATACATATAGGGTTTGTGAGTGAGTGTGAGAGCTGAGCCACACGACTTGGGCCAGTGGCTGTGGACAGTGTCTGAGTGGTGCAGCTAAACTGACCTGCTTTCTCCTCCCCATCCTCCCGCTCCAGATGATGGTCAATAGGACGACTGAGGTCCTCACTAACCCCCTGATGTCCCCCTCCCCCCCCCCCCCCCCCCCCCTCTTCACAGCTCTGCATGTCCAGGAGCTCTCCTTCTCTCTCTCTCCCTCACCACTCTCACTGTTGCTTTGACCACAGGAAGCCGCTACTGCTATGTCCGCCTCACTCTCCCCTTCACGATGCTTTGGTTTTTACACACTTTTCTGTGACTGGTTCAGAATTTCTTTGTCATCTGTGACCCGTGGTACATTTACAAACTTCATGCTTCTGATGAATGGATTCGATGCTACTTTTTAAAAAGTGTGTTTTTCTTTATGAGTTCAGATTTTGTGATACTGTCTTATATCTGTCTGCAATGTATTATATGTGTTTTGTTGCATGGTTTGCTATTAATGAATATCTATGGCTTTCTATGACAGTGTATATTCTAACTATAGCATGGTAGTAAGGATACTGGGCTATAGGCTTACATGTATTTGACAGCTATGTAAAGCATGTTTTTATTCAGCCATAATATTAAAGTGTGTGTGACAGGTTACTCAATTCTCAATACAAATATAATTGATGTGTCAGAAAAAAAAATAGTATTATGGGTTCCTAATGCCAATATTCTACTCCTAAATAATCCATCTTGTTTTTTTCCCAACAGACAGAGACTAACAGTGAAACAACCCATGCTATTGTTAGCGTACTTGTAATAAATAGCCTTGTGAGTCACTATTTTATACTTTTGGCTCAGAGCTGATTGGCTGGGCCGGGGTAGTCCACTCTTTTTCATCTTTCCGTCTGAAAGAGCGGATCTAAAGAAGTGACAGAGGTCAAAATTACATGCATGTGAAAACTAGTGATAGAACCAAACTGTTTTGATTGCGAGGAACTAGGAAGATTTTACTCTATACATATTTTTTGTGGCTTGAAAAAGAGGGCCCCCAGCTTTAATTGGCAGATGTGAAAAAGACTGAAATAGAAACCAACAAAATCAATGCAGATAACATTTCTAACATTTTAAACATACATTTTAACTAGATAAAATATGTTTTTTTAAATATTTTTATATTATTCTACCAATGTACAAACAGGAAGTAACATTCAAAACATACACCAAACCTTTTAAAACTTAAGTATCAAAATCTTGAATACCACTATCTTTTCTAGCCCAATATTTATTCAAACCTGTAATATACCCTTTAACTGTGCTGTATCATGCTATTTACATGCTAACCATGCTAATGCAGTGGTTTAAAGTTTAGTGCTATCAAAACTACTTTTCTTTCCAGATACATCTTTTCAAATTACTGTGACAACAATAACATATCGTCTTTATAACCTATTCTTTTAATCAGCAGTAAAATTGAGCTATTTCAAAATGTGTCTTGACTTGAATGCAGCCCTGTATATCCGTTAGCATGCTAGGCTAATGTGAGCTAACGCATGCTACGTCTCCGCTAACGTTACTTTGCCACAATTCTGAGCTTTGCGTGACTGTTTTGAGCCCATCACGTTAGCCACTGTTATCTTCACGCTGTTGTAAACACCTCTCTCACATTAAATCGGACCATCTCTCACAGAACGGCAAGGTAAGGCCAGACTTTAGCTACAATAATCCACAAATATCTGCTTTTTTTCCTTTCTAACTTCTCCATCAATATTCATTCCTAACTCTTCTTCTCGCGTGAACTTCTCTTTTGACGTACAGTTGACATAGTGCTCTTCATAGATGTCACAACACTATAATGTGATAAAAATATTGTTTTGTGGTCATGGGTTAGCCGCTATTGTCCATCTGTCATTTCTGTGTGTACTGTACGTCTTTCTACTATTATTTTTGTTTGGATTTTATGTTGTATACTTCTGTTTTCAGTTTTGTAACATAGCCAACTTTCTTGACTCTGTTCCTCTTTTGTGATTGGTCACCGCATGAAAAAGGTTGTGGTTGGATTGGAAGATGTGTACAACCAACAATACATTATTATTATTATTATTATGGTTTTCTTTCTTTCAGTTTTGGTGTACCTGTGATGCTTGATGGCTGCATGCTAGGGACTGCTTTGTAATTCAATATAAAGGCATGTAGAAATGTAGATTAATTGTGTGTTGTTTTGTCCTTTTGTGTTACTCCTAGAGTGGATTTACCCCGCTGCACATCGCTGCGCACTACGGAAATGTGAATGTAGCCACACTTTTGCTGAACAGAGGAGCTGCAGTGGACTTCACAGCACGGGTGAGATTTAGACCATTGGGTTTAGATTTGTTGTTATTGATCTGTAAACACACACACGTACGCACACACACACACGCGCACTAAATGTAAGTCTCTGTTCATTTTGTTTTATCATTTAGTTTTTATGGTCTTCAGATTTAGTCGCATATCGGTAACTTTTATCAGTAAAATCATCATCATTTTTAAAGTTAGATTAACTTTGCAATTATATTTTATTTTCTGGTTGTGTTACGTCCATGTGATAAATGTTCCTTAAAGTCCCATAGTATTCCATTATCTCCATGAGAAGAATATATGACCAGACTCAGTTAATAAGAAATAATAACTATAGCTGTTTTTGAACCCTCAAAGACGCTTCACAGCTTCACATGGCAGTGATAGGTCATGGCAAGTTTATTTGTATAGCACAGTTCTTACACAAGGCAACTCAAAGTGCTTAACAAAACAAGATAGAAACAACTGTGCAAGGCAATAAAATAATCAGATACAGTCCGTCAGTTGTATGCACAGTTAAATTGTTTTCATTCAACCTGGATTTGAATATCGTCAGAGTCGTAGCCTGTCTCACATTTTCAGGAAGACTGTTCCACATGAGCTGACTCAATAACACACACATAGCGTTGTATGATAAACTAGTATGGGGAGGTTGTGGGAAGAAACTGAAAGTAAGTCTCGATTGAGTTCAACTGGATCAAAGCAAAACCGTTCAAAACCAGACCATTATTAAGCCTTCTCTCCTAAATGATGAGTTTTATGACCTTGGAAACTTTACTTTGCAGAGAGAACAGGAGGCAACCCAGCTCAAATAAAAGACCTGCATGAATTCAACCCGCGTTCATGCTGGAGTTCAGAGAATTAAGTCCAAAATGATTTTGTATAATAAAAAAGGCCCACTCGATTTTAGTTCAAGTGTCAGTCTCCAGCATATTTGGAAAAATGGTTTGACGCGGTTTCATTCCAGCTCTGATCTTGCACAAGGTTCAGCATTTACATAATAACATGGCAGAATAGATTCCGGTTTAATGGCTGATTTTGTGGCAAGGATTTTAGGTCGTTCTTAACCAATTCTGTTGAAGCGACGGCCAAACTATGAAGGTGTATTAGCAAGTGTAATTCATGACAAGTTTGATTTCATCTTTTATCTTCGACAGCGTTTAGATGTGCTATATTTAACCAGCCGCATGGATAAAAATATCTGCTCTGTCACCTCCTTTGCCGCATAATCGTGCCGAACAAGAAAAACATATTTAGCTAGGAACAGTAGGAGTTAGTAGTTATTGTGGTAACCCATTTGATTTAATGGGGGAGGGGGAACTCTGTCCAGTCCCTACAGTCTATTGATAATGACTTATTAATAATTCATGTGCAAACTAAGGCCCGAGAGCCAATTGCAGCCCTTTTTGTCATTTTATGTGGCCCTCTGCTAACCCAAAGTAGTCATTCACAGTGTCATCCAGCCAACTTCAGTTCAGTCCACATCGCATGTTATACCTCATTATAAAGGACAGGACCTCTGGATTACAGTCGTTTACTTTGTTTGACATTAATAACTTTTGTTTTTGATTGTATGACACTTATGTATCTGGTGGGTAAACATTTGGCAATTAGATATACCATGTGTATATTGAATACCATGTGGCCTTCAATATACACATGGTATATCTAATTTTAAAGCTGAATCCAGTCAGTGTTTTCAGCCCCTGGGTAATTTTGCGCAACTAAAATGGCCATGTTACTGTAATGTTTGGACACCCCTGTAAGATTAAGATTAAAAGAAGTCAAAGATTCAGGCGGAATAATGTGAACCTTACAAAAACTGACAGTAGAAGTTGTAGTAGGACTAAATAGGCCTCATACATTCTATTATTATGTATAATTATTATAATGAATATAGGTCATGTTATACCAGAGACATAATATAATAATAGACATAGTCCTAATAGTGTGTCCTTTTTGTGTTTTTTAATGTATTCATCTGCGTTGTAAATATTATTCTGTATTTGCGCTTTTGCATTAGTGGTTCGAAGCTAATCGGCATTTCGTTGAATTGTTCCGGTGATGATAAAGTTGATTCAAATCTAATCTAATCTTATCAAGTTGAAATAAATAATACTAAATTACTTTTCTAATATTTATTGAATATTTGTATTGCTATTGGAAGTAACAGAAAGTCACAAGCCAACTTGCTTTTTCTCAAAGTGCAATCAAGTTGAAAGTGTAAAAAGTATGCACACAAAATCGTCATTGTAATATCTTGGTAAACTGTGCTTGTATTTCAGAAGTGAATGATTGGAGATAAATCAGTAATATTATTATTTGTTGTTGGTCTGTTGCAGAACGGCATCACTCCTCTTCATGTGGCGTCTAAACGAGGGAACACTAACATGGTGCGCCTCCTGCTGGACCGCGGCTCTCAGATCGATGCTAAAACCAGGGTGTGTATGAAATAAACCTCGCTGGTGTCGTATGAAGGGTGTATTGTAACGAGCATCTTTGCTGCAGGACGGTCTGACGCCTCTTCACTGCGCGGCTCGGAGCGGACACGACGCCTCCGTGGAGCTGCTGCTGGAGAGAGGAGCTCCACTGCTCGCCAGGACCAAGGTCTGTGCTGCAGGACTGAGAGAGGGGGGGCAATATATGTGTGTGGATTATTTTATTTATTTTATTTATTTTATTTATTTTATTTTATTTATTTCTATTTTATTTATTTCAATTGTATTCTATTATATTTTATTCTGTTTTCTTTTTAATTTTAATTTAAATTTTTTCTATTGTATTTTATTAATTGTATATGTATTGACCATCCATACATTTCATGGAAATTCCTGGGTAGCTATGACTTGGCCAATCACTGTTATTTAGAACAATTCATGGCCTGGATAGAACCAGGGCCAAACGGGTACTAAAAAAGTACCTGGTACCAGTTAAACAGGACAGTGGAGAACGACCAATCATGTAGAGTAAGACCAAGTGGGACTGGGACAGGGCTTGTTAGTACAGATGTTGGATAGTGGCTGTTTTTATCAAGAAAAAATACAGATCTCCCTCGTATACATTCACATCCATATCCATATAAGTGTCCAAAATATTACTTCTCTCAGTCGTCCCCAGGGCAGCTGTGGCTACAGTAGTAATGCCTGAACGTGTTTATTCCCTGTGTGTCTGTAGAATGGCCTGTCCCCGCTGCACATGGCGGCTCAGGGCGACCACGTGGAGTGCGTCAAACATCTGCTGCAGCACAAGGCGCCGGTTGATGATGTCACGCTGGACTATCTGACCGCTCTGCATGTGGCCGCGCACTGTGGCCACTACCGGGTCACCAAACTACTGCTGGACAAGAGAGCCAATCCCAATGCACGCGCTCTGGTGGGACACACACACACAGCACTCATGTTTAGCTTGTTTTATGTGTGTGTGTGTCTGTGTGTCTTTGTCTGTCTGTCTGTCTTTGTCTGTCTGTCTATGTGTCTTTGTCTGTGTGTCTGTCTGTGTGTCTTTGTGTGTCTTTGTGTGTCTTTGTCTATCTTCCTGTTTGTGTGTTTCTGCCTGTCTGCCTGTGTAAAGATACGTTATGTACGTGAGTGGGGCACACTGGAGACTTTTGCACATATTCTTCAATTTGGTTTTGCTGCAAATGGCAAATAAACTTAATCTCATCTGAATCTGTGTCTGTGTCTGTGTCTGTCTCCAGAATGGGTTCACTCCACTGCACATCGCCTGCAAGAAGAACAGAGTGAAGGTGATGGAGCTGCTGGTCAAATATGGAGCGTCCATTCAAGCCATTACAGAGGTAAAATTCAACTTCTTTTTAAGGTGGACTCACTGAAAAACAGAGACAAGTCCAGATTAGAAGTGCACAGTAAGCTTTAGATCTAATTCTACTTTAAATAAATACAAATGAATCTCAATTGCCACAAATGCAATTTGGCTTTATTGACGCAGGCTGATATGAAAGAAACGACCTTTCCCTGAAGTTTGTAAATATATAAGCTCTTGATGAAGACAGACTGTGGAAATAAAAATCCAAGTTCAATCATTTTTAGAGGCTTGTTCTGTTTTGATTTTGAAACTCTGAGCTTTCTGCTGATACGAGAAATCAGATACTGAAAATAGCCTTTATTTCCATAACACAAAAACAAATCTACGACAAAATAATCCCTAAATGTTTAATAAATGCCTTTCTAAGTATGCGGTGAAAGTGCAGGCCAAGCATCTTTTTATGTCATTGTTATTGGCCACCTGTTATTGTTGTATTGTGTTTGCCAAGGGTCATGTGTTGTGTGTCCTCAGTCTGGTCTCACCCCGATCCATGTGGCAGCCTTCATGGGCCATCTCAACATCGTCCTGCTGTTGCTGCAGAATGGAGCCTCCCCGGATGTTAGCAACATTGTGAGTGCAGAGAAATCAAAAGACATTCATGGCAATACTCGATATGATTATAAATGATTGTGTGTATCTGCCTGTGTGTGTGTGTGTTGTTTGTCTGTTCGTCTGTCTGTCTGTCGCTACCTGTCTGTGCGCGTGTGTGTCTCTGTCTGCTGGTGTGTCTGTGTGTGTGTGTGTGTCTGTCTGTCGCTACCTGTCTGTGTGCATGTGTGTCTCTGTCTGCTGGTGTGTCTGTGTGTGTGTTTGTCTGTCTGTCTCTTTGTGTGTGTTTTTGCATCTGTCTGTCTGTGTGTGTGTGTGTGTGTGTGTGTGTGTGTGTGTGTGTGTCTGTGTCTCTGTCTCTGTGTCTGTCTGTGTGTTTGTGTGTTTGCCTCTGTCTGTGTCTCTGTCTGTGTGTGTCTCTGTCTGTCCATCTGTGTGTGTGCGTGTCTGTGTCTGTCTGCCTGTGTGTGCGTGCGTGCGTTTGTGTGTGTGTGCGCAGCGTGGAGAGACAGCTCTGCACATGGCAGCAAGAGCAGGTCAAGTCGAGGTGGTCCGATGTCTGCTGAGGAACGGAGCAATGGTGGACGCTCGAGCGCGGGTCAGTCTCCAACTCAACCTTCACATCTTTCTGAATGTTGAGTCCAGATGTTGTTCATTCTGCTCTGTGCACAGGAGTACCAGACCCCCTTACATATCGCATCACGTCTGGGTAAAACAGAGATAGTTCAGCTCCTGCTTCAGCACATGGCTCACCCTGACGCCGCCACCACCAACGGCTACACACCTCTGCACATCTCAGCGCGCGAGGGGCAGGTGGAGACCGCCTCCGTGCTGCTGGAGGCCGGGGCGTCCCACTCACTGGCCACGAAGGTACAGCCACATCTCTGTCAATCACATCACATTTTTTATTCCACGTTTTAAATATTTAGGAACAGATTTAAAAACACAAAAGCATCTACAGCCCGTCGGTTTCGTGGGAGTGGATCCGTCCCTCAATGTGGTCCCCCCCGAGGTTTCTCATTTTCTCCCACTGGGTTTTCAGAGTTGATTCTTGCCGATGCAGGAGGGTCTAAGGACAGTGGTAATAATCCAGGACATTTAACAACATTTATGGACATTGATCATCCGCCCCTTATGCACCAATGGCTCTATGTGTTTGTATCATTTCATTTCTTGCGTTTTGAACTTTTTGATTCTCTGATCTGTGTTGGCGAATCAACGGTTTTGTAAAGTCCTCCGAGATAACTACTGTTGTGATTTAGGGCTATACAAAAATACATCGAATTGAATTGAACAAGCACAGGTCCAGGGCAGGGACATCCTGTTCCACATGCTAGGACTGTTTACTGTTTATTGAGTCCAACCTGCATAAAGTCGTTCAGCAAAACAACAAGAGGAGAGCAGGGAACAGCATGATGTCATTTCCAAAGCAGCGGTGTTGACAGTGAAGGAGGGAAGGCGATGTTACTCTGATTATGCAAATGTATTTTATGATTGGATTGAAAACTATATAGCGGCATAATGGAGCAAGACACTAATAGCTAAACATTAGAATTTACTTATAGACACTATGAGTCTATAAATAGACACACAACACACTCCAATAGCTTCTGGTTAAGTGTTTCTTACAGGGAAATCTGGAATTGGAATTACTGTATATATTCTGGACTATAAGGCGCTCCATCTACATTTTCAAATAAAGTACATTTAGTCCACATTTAGGCAGAACTTCAATATAAGCTGCAGGTTTTCATGTTGTAATGTCGCAGATAGACGACTGTTTTGACTGGTCACAACATGGTTTAATGACGAGGTGTCTTATAGCCTCTAAAACTTGATGAATTCAAAATACTAAGTCCATAAACAGCCCAACTCTACCACAATGAAACACACATATTAGCCGCATTGTTAGATAAGTATAAGGAGAAAAGGTAGTGGTTTATAGTCCGCAAATCACAGTATACAATTTTAAAGCACACATCAAGTCAAGAATTGTTGTTTTCCGCCGTCCGTACAGGAACAGTGAGAGGTTTGCGTATGTGCTTGACCCAGTTGGGTGAATGAGAGATTGGGCTGTACAGCTGCTACTGGGTCTGAATTGTGCATGAGGCTTAAACACCAGTGTTTTTGGTGATTTATTCTCATTGGGTGTGCCGGGTTCACTGCAGGACACCATTACCAGCTCTGCCGCTGTGGGCTGTGTGTGCAGGGGGAACATGTTTACTCTCCCGACTGCCTCATAACAATAATCAGTGACAAGAGAGTGCTGGAGATTAACCCTGTCATTTAGTAATACATGAGTACATTAGTAAAACATTAACTGTGTCGAAAAATGACACTACACACACACATGCACACATGCCCCTGGGCCTTTATAAGTTTTATCAGAGCTTTTGCAGAGTTTTTTTTTCAGAAAGAATGAAAACCAAGCGCTCCTGTGGACTCACCACCTGCAGGAGGATCAGTGAGGGGCTGGTGCTATGTGCACTGGGTGCAGCTCTGACTGCCACCCCCCCGACCCAGAAATGGATTAAGGGGAAGAAAATGGATGGATGGATGGATGAAAACCAAGCAAACATCATATAGTACTGGACAATCTGCGTCACACCGATAGAGCCGACCCAGATGTTAGCAAGTCACAACAAAAGAGACAAGCCAGATTTGGGACCCACTGTTTGGAGTAGAATTTAAAAGAATACGTGTGAATACATTATATGTGAATATTCAAAAACAGAAATCTTGCTCTTACAAAGATTTCTCTGGGACTAACTCCATGACCAAAGATTGTAGCATTTACTTCGATATTCAATCCAGATCAAACTTTCAATTCACAAGGTGCACTTTTCTTTATTATTGGAAGTTTTTTAGAGATTTTTCTGTTTTTAGTCGACTACTCGATCCACCAAGAGCAATCCTTCTATCTTTTTGGAGATTTCAATAGATTTTAAACTCAGTTTCTGTTTTTGTTTTTGTTCATTTCTTTCACGCTACTTTGTTTTTCCAAGAAAAAAACAAGACATACTGTAAAAGTCAAGTATGTTATTGCTATGGAGTAGTTTCTCTCTGCAACAAGGGTTCAAAGTGCTTCAGAGAAAAACGCTTTGAACCACATTTCAACATTGGCTTTTCAGCAAAATGAACATAATGAACTGTCAGGCTCCACTGGTGTTACTATGGAAACCACAGCAGAACTCTATTCACACGTATCTGTCTTATAGGAATTGTATTTATATTTATACTCGTATGTGTTTCTCATGCCGCTTGTGTCGTGCCACCAGCTCCTCCCCCTAAACAAATGTATTATAATCCAGGCTCAAAGTCAGGGTCCATCAGATGAGTGCGGGTCACTCCCAGTTTAGGATGAGTGACATGGTTAAAGAGCGCCCTCTACTGGTCAAGTTTAGGCTAAGCGTATGATAACGGAATCAGAATTGGTTTTATTGTAAAGTTACGGTAGTGACAGGACAGTGATGAGTTATGAACCTGCAATGGTGTTGTTAAAGAAATCTGACTTGTTTAGAACTTTGACTTGTTTAGAAATTTGAATTAACAAGAAATATTTATAAGAATATGTATATACTAATCCTCCACTCTTGATTCATATACAGTAGGCAAGGCAAGGCAAGGCAAGTTTATTTATATAGCACAATTCATACACAAGGCAATTCAAAGTGCTGAACAAAACAAGAAAGCATTAAAATCATAAATAATCACAGTACATTAAAAAGAAAGATAAAAATATAAAATCCCTCAGTTGTATGCACAGCTAAACAGAACTGTTTTTAACCTGGTTTTAAACATTGTCGGCGAGGAGGCCTGTCTCACATCTTCTGGAAGATTGTTCCAGATTTTAGCAGCATGAATCTGAAAAGCAGCCTCCCCATGTTTAGTTCTGACTCTGGGCACTAACAGGAGTCCAGTCCCTGTGCTCCTCAGAGTCCGGCCTGGTTCATATGGAACTAACATGTCACTAATATATTTTGGTGCGAGGCCATGGAGAGACTTGTACACAAGCAGAGCTGTTTTAAAGTCTATTCTCTGAGCCACAGGAAGCCAGTGCAGAGACCTGAGAACTGGACTAATGTGGTCGTACTTCCTGGTTCTTGTCAGGACTCGAGCTGCTGCATTTTGAATGTACTGCAGCTGTTTTACAGCCTGTTTGGACAGACCTGTGAGCAGGCCATTGCAGTAGTCTAACCTACTGGAGACAAATGCATGGATAAGAATCTCCAAGTCTGCTTTATGTTTTTGATCCTGGCAATGTTTTTTAGATGGTAAAAAGCTGCTGATGTTACTGATTTGATGTGGCTATTAAAATTTAAGTCTGAGTCCAGTACATATTATCTGTTCTTCAAACTCTGGAACCACTGTATCAAAACTAATATATCGTCATTTCTGGATTATAAACCGCTACTTTTTCCTAGTTTTTTTTAACCCTGCGGCTCATATACTGTAGTGATGCGGGTAATATGTTTATTCTTTATTGTGGTAGAGTTGTCTGAGCAGAGTTTATGGACTTGACATCAAGTTTTAGTAGCTACAGGACACTTGTTTACTGTCAAAATAGATGAAGGTGAATGAGTCATGGAAGCTGACGGTGAAGCTGCTAAACACCTCGTCATTAAATCATGTCGTGACCAGTTCAAACAGTCTGTCTGCTACGCTAACATGAAAACCTGCAGCTTATATTCAAGTGTGGCCTATATATGGATAAAATGTGTTTTATTTAAAAAATGTAGGTGGTGCGGCTTACAGACAGGTCCGTTTTATAGTCCAGAAAGTACGGTACATATGTGTAATGGTTGTTTTGTTCATTGTTTTCCTCCACAGAAAGGGTTCACTCCTCTTCATGTGGCAGCCAAGTACGGAAGCCTGGATGTGGCCAAACTTTTGCTGCAGCGTCGTGCCTCACCGGACTCAGCTGGAAAGGTACGCAACAAAAACAATACATAAAATTCTCCTTATCGTAATGTATACCGTGATTTGGCAACATTTGGTGGTACATTTTCCCCAGGTCCTTTAATATTACTTTACTAACAATTCATCCATAATTTGTACTGATGGATTTTGGCTCTAACCTGTGTCCTTCTCCGTCTCCTTCAGAATGGTCTCACCCCGCTCCATGTTGCAGCTCACTATGATAACCAAAAGGTGGCGCTCTTGCTGCTGGATAAGAGCGCATCACCCCACACCATGGCCAAGGTGAGTCTTATCGTGAGTCACAACAAGCGGCCACTGCATAAAACATGGAGCCAGAGCAGAACACTAGCGACCAGCAGATATATTTGTATTATGTGTGCCAAAATGCCTGTATGACTAAAGCTTATTACAAGAAAAAAGGAAAGTTAAAGCTGCGGGGTCCAAATTTAAAACCACAACAATTAAACTATGTGATAAACTAGTTTCTCGCTCTCAGAACACTTTGCAAATATTGAGTTATTGTGTAAAATGAATGAGTTTAGGTAAATTAGAAGCCAAACCAGCCTACTTTCTTAGGACCAAAATGACAGTGACCTCAAAAAAATCTATTTACTTATGAGAGCTAGCCTCGGATAATGTCACGTTACTCTCAATTGTCATTCTATATCATTTATTACAGCTTTTGTTTGCATTTACAATAGCTGTGTGCACATGAATCATACATTTTGGATCATTTATAGCATTTTTATGTCATTTCAAAATCCTTTGGGAGGTTGGAGACCCCTGAGCAAAACGTATAAAACCATGATTATGTCTTGTCTGTGGAATCCGCTGTCAGTCTGTGTCCTGTTGATAAAACTGTTGTTGCTTTGTCTAGAACGGCTACACCCCTCTGCACATCGCGGCCAAGAAGAACCAGATGGAGATCGCCACGGTGCTGCTGGACTACGGAGCGGACACCAACATCCTGACCAAGCAGGGGGTGACTCCGCTGCACCTGGCCTCTCAAGAGGGGAACGCAGAGATGGCCGCTCTGCTGCTGAGCAAAGGGGCGCAGGTCAACACCCCCACCAAGGTACAGCTCCGGTGCATATGAGGTTTTAGATGGAGCCCAGGAGGAGAAGGTTTTTGGATGCAGCCATGAGCCATAGAAAACCACACAATAAATGTACCAGTGTATAAAAGACTGCCTCTTCAGTCCTGGTTCTCCAGCCTCAGTCCTGGTTTTACATCCTGCCTGTGTGTGGGAGCGAATCTCTCTTTCACCAGATCCCTGAGGTTTCTTAAATGTTTCCCCACAGTTCATTTTTATTTTTATTTGAGTGGTTTCTTACCGTTGCAGGATGATGAGGGACCTTTATGGACATTTTTAAAGATCCCGCTCCCTATGAACCTATGGCTTCTATGTGTTTGTTATTATTGCATTTCCTCTGAGACGACTGCTCTTGTGGTATAGGGTTATACAGAATTGAATTGAATAAGGAACAAAAATAATTTACCATGAAAAATCTGTTTATGTTTACAGAATATACATTGAAGGTTGTGCTACTCTTATTTTTGTTTTGTAAGAGTAGGTACCGTTTTAACCATAATGCAAATGTTCTACCTGTTTATAAACTTCACTCCTTTGTCAAGCTAAATAGAAAAAGAAGAAAATCAAAAGCTCATGTTTAGACCACTATACATCCTCTCTCTTTGGCTCAAAAGCACTGGTGAAACTGGCACCTTTTTGCAATTCAAGAAAACCAGTCAATTAATGAATAATAATTAGATGATTTTCTGAACACAAAAGTTTGAACCTGCTGCTTGTGTTTCCTGCAGAGTGGCCTCACCTGTCTGCACCTCGCGGCTCAGGAAGACAAAGTATCTGTGGCCGAGATCCTGGCGCGACACGGAGCAACGCTGGACCAACAAACCAAAGTACGCAGTCAATCCCACTTTTGTTTTGTACATTTTCCCATCGTGAGATCAATAAAGTTTTAATCAGATCTTTCATTATTCATCCTAAATGTGATAATATAATGTTGAATGTTTTACAGTTGGGCTACACGCCACTCATTGTAGCTTGTCACTATGGTAACGCCAAGATGGTGAACTTCCTCTTAAAGAATGAGGCCAGTGTGAACGCCAAAACAAAGGTAAGTCCATACAATCTGATTGCTATATTTTTACTATGTTATGTCTATTTTTATCCCTTTTCCTGAACGTTTTTTCTACATTGCTATCTTTATTTATGAATGACTTTATTTCTGTCCTCATTCAGAATGGATACACCCCTCTTCACCAAGCCGCCCAGCAAGGAAACACCCACATCATCAACGTCCTGCTGCAGTACGGAGCCAAGCCCAACGCCATCACGGTGGTACGTCACGGAGCCTCCGACACAAACTTTGTAGTAGATAAACAACATCCAGCGATTGTACAGTTGTGTCAATCCGGGATGATTTGTTTTATACATGTTTCGTCCTCTAGATGTGGTGCTACTGACCTCCCTGCCCCAAGAAAAAAAATTATATGAATCTTAGAAAAGAGTAAATCTGAAGCACTCTTGAAAATAAATAAAAATACTTTAATGGACAGGTCTAGGGAATCTGAATCTGAATCAGCTTCACCATCAGAGAGGATTAAGAACCTCACAACTAACACACAAGACTCCAAGGTGTCATAGATGTTAAAGAGGCAGTATACGCTATTGAGAACCGGGGGATGGAGACTTCTGATCAGGGTTAGAAGAGTTAGAAGAAGTTTTGGTTGTCTATTGTGCATTACTTTAAAAACTGTGTTTTTCAAGATTCAGTTTTTTTTTGCCATATCTATGCAGTAAAACCAGGTTGGAGTAACAGTGCAAGACTTCCGCAGTGTGCACCAGACAGAGCACATAGTACACGCCAGAGCTCTTGCCTTTTGAGATGCAACATATATTTAAAGTGGATTGGATAGGATCAAATTAAAATAGGTTTTTTTGACATTTCCTTCACACAAGCACAGACATTTTTTATTTGTGTTACTATTCGACATCTCAGAAATATGCCGGAAAAAAAGACTGTTTACTTCATTCATTCATTACGTTTTATTTTTCAGAATGGCAACACGGCTTTGGGAATCGCCCGGAGACTGGGCTACATCTCTGTGGTCGACACACTCAGGGTCATCACAGAGGAGATTATCACCACTACTACGGTATGACTCTCTACTAATGCAATATAAGAATTGTTTTTAATGCCATTGTAAGTACTAGGAAGTCACATACTTTTTTATTGTGTCTTCTCTACTCTTTGCCTCTCTTTCTGACTGTTGCACCGAGCCAAAGCATTTTCCAAGTCTGTGACTTCCTGTTACTTACATGGCAATGAAAATGATTCTGATTCTGATACTAGGAATTGACTTTGCCTCATGGTGCAAGCAAGTTATACAAGTAAAAATAGACATAAGGCGTGCATACAAAAAACGTTGCTTTATTTCTGCTACATACAAGTGCACACTAAGATTCAAGAATTTCTTCGCCATCTACAACAAAACCGCATTTGAAAAACTGTGCAAGACTTCTGCATTTTGCACCACAGAGAAGTTGGTACATAGCAGAGCTATTGCCACGTACACACAACATGTAATAGTGTAGAAAATGTAGGCGGGATCTTAAGCTAGTCCCACAGGTGTTAGCTAGTCCCACAGGTTTTAGCTAGTCCCACAGCTGATAGCTAGTCCCAAAGATGTTATTTTTGTTTTTGTTTTATTATTTTATACTTTATGAAGGACTCACATGCAAGCACAGGATCCATAGCTAAGAATAATGAAAGTGTTAGCTAGTCCCACAGCTGATAGCTAGTCCCACAGGTGTTAGCTAGTCCCACACGTGTTAGCTAGTCCCACAGCTGTTAGCTAGTCCCACAGCCGATAGCTAGTTCCACAGGTGTTAGATAGTCCCACAGGTGTTAGCTAGTCCCACAAGTGTTAGCTAGTCCAAACAACAGGCCTAAAAACTGTGTTCCCGCTAAGAAGTACAGATGATGGGTGAGAAACCTTCCTTTGCTTTGACCAATCCCTGTATGACTGAGGGCTTACACAAACCTATAAGTATATTATAATAAACTTACCAATTTGAGTTTTTTAATGATTTATAATGAATATGTGTCCAATACCTTTGCAGACGGTGACAGAAAAGCATAAACTCAATGTACCAGAGACCATGACTGAGGTTTTGGATGTGTCGGATGAAGAGGGTAAGTAATCTGGCTGTTTTGCTTCCTGTATTTGCACCATGTTAAGTTCAGAATGACACAGTATCCTCGCATTAAAATTATTAAAGACGCCAGAGACTTTAAAGTGACCCTCCTGTTCACACACAGAACTAAGGTCCATTGATGATGATGTCTTATCAGACCTGGAGACGCTGGAAGGTACAGGGCATGAGCTCAGAGGCTGGTGTGCAGTTAGCATGCTTTCAGATATGAAGTGGATTAACCCTTTGAGATTACGTCATGTGTGTTTCAAAATGCATAAATAAACGTACAATCCATATATTACCCCATTAAGGCAAAGAAATTATAACAAATAATCCTTCTTGTTGTATAGGCTGTGCATTTTCAGGACATTGTGTTCATTGTGGCTTCAAAATGACAAATAACAGTTCAGCTTCAGTGTTGATTTTTTTATATATTTTTTTGTACTTTTCAAACTTATACATGCTTTTGTGTAGGAGACGACACCATGACTGGAGACGGAGGGGAGTACCTGAGAGCGGAGGACCTCAGGGAGCTGGGGGACGACTCTCTGCCGGGACAGTATCTGGAAGGGATGAACTACCTGCGCTTCAGCCTGGAGGGCGGCCGCACTGACAGGTGACGGCAGACACCTCCCACACAACACAGACTTACACACTGTCTACGTTTGGGGCCACATGTGTCCACTGTCATGTCACTGTCATTTAGCCCGTACCCTCAGGCTGCTAACATGCACAGTAGTTTCATCACTGTGAATATTTTAACCCTCATTGCTAATATTCTTGCTCTAGAGTGCACTACAAATGTATTACAAGTACATTTATTGTACTAGAGTATACAGGTTTATGCTTTTGTATTAAGCTAAAGATAGAGATTGTATTTTATTGTATTTTTTAACTAACTTGTGATGCAACACAGACATTTTCCGTCTCTCAGCTGGCCTGGGAATGCCTCGGGTTAGGGTTAGGACCTACATTACATTCAGCCCTCGACCAAAATGAGTTTCAGCAGTTCTGATCTAAATACACACTTACAACGTGTGTTGGTCTGTTATTTGTGTGTCATTTACTTTACCATTTCATGGTTTTGCAGTTGTGCACTTAACGTGTGTGTGTGTGTGTGTGTGTCACTAATCTAACCTGTGTGTGTTTATGTGCGTTGTGCTACGTGTTCCTCTCATCTTCATGGTTGGTCTTCACTGTCTTCTGTGTCGTCTGTCTAGTCGAGTGCAAAGGTAACTACAGCAGTAAAACTACAGCAGTAAAACTACAGCAGTAAAACTACAGCAGTGAAACTACAGCAGTAAAACTACAGCAGTAAAACTACAGCAGTGAAACTACAGCAGTGAAACTACAGCAGTGAAACTACAGCAGTGAAACTACAGCAGTAAAACTACAGCAGTAAAACTACAGCAGTGAAACTACAGCAGTGAAACTACAGCAGTAAAACTACAGCAGTGAAACTACAGCAGTGAAACTACAGCAGTGAAACTACAGCAGTGAAACTACAGCAGTGAAACTACAGCAGTGAAACTACAGCAGTAAAACTACAGCAGTGAAACTACAGCAGTGAAACTACAGCAGTAAAACTACAGCAGTGAAACTACAGCAGTGAAACTACAGCAGTGAAACTACAGCAGTAAAACTACAGCAGTGAAACTACAGCAGTAAAACTACAGCAGTAAAACTACAGCAGTGAAACTACAGCAGTGAAACTACAGCAGTGAAACTACAGGGCGGCACAGTGGCTGAGTGGATAGCACTCTTGCCTCTCAGCAAGAAGGTCCTGGGTTCGAATCCCGGTCGGACCAGGGCCTTTCTGAGTGGAGTTTGCATGTTCTCCCCGTGTCTGCGTAGGTTTCCTCCGGGTACTCCGGTTTCCCCTACCACTAAAAATGTGTCCAATAGTTCTGGCATGCGCCTCCTGTACTGGTGACCCAGCTCCCATCTCTGTGTAGAGTGAGAGACAAATGCCCAAAAATTATAAATTTTAAACCACTTTGAGACTCAGATTTGCAGTGAAAAGGCGGTATATAAATAAAGATTACTTACAGCAGTGAAACTACAGCAGTAAAACTACAGCAGTAAAACTACAGTAGTGAAACTACAGCAGTGAAACTACAGCAGTTTTATTTTCACCCAACAGAAAGAATTGTTGAAATAAGTTGTAGTCACGCTGCCTTTGTCTTATTAGAGAACATTATTATCTTTTGCATAGTTATAAGAAACAGCCTGAGACACTGTTCAATGCCTTGAGCTGATTGGCTGAGTGAGCGCTTTGTCATCCTTGTCTGTGAGAGGCGCTATATAAATAAACTTTACTTACTTACTTACTTAGGGTGGTCCTCTCTCTTTCACTTTTCTGAAAAAGACCAAAAGTAAAACTAGAACAATCTGTTTTGAAAGCGAGGAACACATGGATTTTAGTACAGTATGTTGTTTTTTTTGTTTTTTTTTGTGGTCTTAACATTACGTACCCTGGCTTCAACTTGGAACTGTTTTGGTTAGAAATGATTTAAATAAAAAAATGAAATTCAGTAAATTCCCTAAACCTCTCGAGACATAGTTGACAGTGCATTACAAGCTTGAAAATCCTTATCTTCCACACTATTGTTTAAATAGTTTTTATTGTATAATTGGACTAACATTAATATATTTTGAAACGCTATTGAGATCTCTTCAATGTTATATGTCCAATGTAATTATACGTAAATTTGCCTTGCCTTCAATCATCGGTCGTTACCGAAATCCCGTCATCTAATCGTGACCACATCATTGTTTCTCATGAGTTAAATGGTTTTTTTTTTCTGTGGTCTCCAGTTCGGACCGGTCCTTCACCCCCACCCACCACAACTACTACTCCCCCAAACACGAAGGGCTGATGGAGGAGTTGCTCAACAACCAGCAGGTACACTCAGTTCACCAGTCTGGTTTAACTATACAAGCGGCTGCACTGCAAAAAATGATACAAATCTGAGGTAGGGACAAAGGGACAAAGCAAAATGATCTTGTTTACTAAATGGTTTTGTCCCCATTGGCAAATCTTTAAAACAGCCAATTGTGTCAAAATTCATTCAAACTCTGCCACACATTATTTTGCACCTTTTTTACTCTTTCCCCGACCCCTGAGTGTGGTACAGTGAGAGTTCTGTGTGTGTGTTCATGTCCCAGAGATCTGTGTCAGTAAAAAAATGTATATATATTTCATGAAAATCCACGATAGCCCATATGAAGTCATAATATGCAAATTAGATGGGTAAATTTAATTCCTACATAAACTTTGGGCCATTCTTATCATTTCTCTAATTTACATTATCACTTTTATAAAAAAATTATGGTTAAATGACAAAATTGAGCTCCTTATTACTATATATTTTTGCCAAATTTGAGCGATTTTAAAACTTCTTTTTCAGCTCTTTTCTACTGTATTAATTCTCATGCTGTGTTTGCGTGTTCAGATCTCCTCCCTGACCAGAGAGAACGACAGAGAGAACTACAGGCTGAGCTGGGGCACAGAGAACTTGGACAACGTGGCCCTGTCCTCCAGCCCCATTCACTCTGGGTGAATTTTTCGGCTTTAAGTTACTTTCATATATGCTTCATTTAGAACCAGGTTTTATTTACTAATGTAACTTTATGGAATTTACTTCTGACTACACACAATATTAGCTTGAATTAGCAAATGAGGTGAAACAATTAATACAATAAACATACAGATTTACATATTTACAGATTTTCAAAAGTATTTCTGTTATTTAAAAACAATGTAAAAAACAGTCTCTGATATAGACTCATTACTTGCAGTGACATTTGCAAAGTCTTTGTTTGTTTTAATGTTGATGATTGGATGGATCACAATCTATTTTGTGGGATTCTACAAGCTGTGAGCCATAATTAACAACGTTATAACTGCTGTGGCACCACCTGCAGGTGAAATGCAGCAGTATAAATATCAGCAATTTTTGCCCTGGAACTGATTTATCACATTTCTTTAATACAGGGTTAATGTTTTCATGTTATATACTGTACAGAACATATATATTTTTATACAACTGTGCGGTTAATGAAGATCATAATAACATGTTTGTTTATGTGGCACATTAGCACTGACAGGATGATGCTGTACTATATTAAGTGCCCTGTTTTCTCTCTGGATGTCTTGTTCTGGTTGTAGTCGCTCTTCTCCGTGTCATCATGGAGACCACAGCAGGTGACCTTCTGCACCCTGGCCCCGCCCCCTGCCCCCCTCCCCCATCTCCCCTGTCCCCCTCATCACCCGCCTCACCCTCACCCTGTGGCCGTGTGCTCTCCTCTGGGGGAGGTGTACATGTGTGTGTGTTATTCATATGTCTCTGCACAAAACACCATTTAAATAAAAGTTAGACATAAGCTAAAACTTTATTATACACTACAAAATACAAAATATACTTTGGACCTGTGACCTTTGGGTAATGACCGAAAGAACAAGATCCCAAATACAAGTGGTCAAAACTAGTATCCCCTCTAGAGTGGTTGGGCGCTCCCTTAGAGATAGGGTGAGGAGATCGGTCACATGGGAGGAGCTCGAGAATAGAGCCGCTGCTTCTCCACGTCGAGAGAAGCCAATTGGAGGAAGTGTGTGTGTGAGGTCTAGGCGTCTAGGAGGTCTAGGTCTGCCTCCTTACACTGCCATAAAAATAGTCTTACTAATTCAGATCTAATTTAGTCGCTAGTGTCTATAGTGTTCTAGTTCTCTGTCATTCAGGTATCGATTATCGCAATCTTTCTACCCCTGTTAATCTACTTTTTTACCTCTGGTCTAATGGGATGTGATGTGGAGAGGGCATCAGGCAGGTTTTTTGATTCGTCTCCATGATTGTGTTATATGAAGAATGGGGATCCCTCTCTCTGCACATATGCCATCTTCACAGTGCTTGCATGTGGTGTGACATAGCATGGCCTCCTCAATGAAACCCACGAGTCATTGTGTGTTAAGATATTATGTTGAGCTGTTGACTGTTCAGACCAGGGATGTCAAATCTGGTCCTCAAAGAGCCGGTGTGGGTGCAGGTTTTCATTCCAACCCACCAGGTTAAACTGGACTCACTTGAGGAAATGGGTGGAGTCTGGTGTGCTCCTGCGTGGTTGGAATGATAACTCACAGCCACACTGGCCTTTCACTGGTAATAAATGCTTGTTTGTTTCGTATCTTAATTTGAGTTTATTCTGACTTATTCTGTCTTAAAACAAGATTCACCAATTTAGTCTTATTATTATGATCTGTTTCTCTGTTTTCTCATTCCAAAAGAGACATTTCTTGTATCTTTTTTAAACAAGATAACTGTGCTTTGTCCCATTGGCAAATCTAGTTTTAAGGCAGTCAGAATGTGCTCAAATTCAGATGTATTTTGCCAAATTTGAGACATTTTTCACTTATTTTTCATCACTTTTTGCACTATTTGAGGACTGAGTTTCAAAACCCTGCTTTATATCATTCCAGTGGTGAACTGTGACTGTGCTCATTCCTCAAAATCATACCGTTATATCATGTCAAACTCTTTTCTCTTTCATTGTATTGTTCTGAACGACTTTTGTCTCTCCCAGTTTCTTGGTGAGCTTCATGGTGGATGCAAGGGGAGGAGCCATGCGCGGCTGTCGGCACAACGGCCTCCGCATCATCGTCCCCCCAAAGAAGTGCAGCGCTCCCACTCGCATCACCTGCCGCCTGGTGAAGAGGCACCGGCTGGCCTCCATGCCCCCCATGGTGGAGGGCGAGGGGCTGGCCAGCAGGATCATCGAGGTGGGGCCCTCCGGAGCACAGTTCCTCGGGTAAGACAGCAGAAGAAATGTACTTTATCTATCTAAATCTATCTATCTATGTATACTGTATATATATATATGGTGAACTGTTAAACTATAATGGATAAAGGTAAGAAGTCTGTAAAATATTATCTCAGTCCCCTTAAGGCAAATATCTAATCAACAAATCCTTGTACAGTATCTCAATATTTAAATGAGTATGTATAGACATTGTTGTGCCAACATAGAAATGAATAAATAAGTGAATACATAGTTTTTTTAGATTGATGATGACTGAGTTCTAGAGAATGAGTTTTCTTAGATTCTGCCGATTATCATTCCATTGGGCAATTTCCCCACATAAATGATCACAAAGTCTATGTCATATATTTATATATATATTATTAAATCAATGATGTTCATACGATTCTAACAAACAATGACATAATCTGTCACAGTTCTTTTGTGGACATCGCCCCCTATGGACCAATGGCTCCTATGTGTTTGTTATTATTGCATTTTACTGATGATTTAGGACTTCACAAAAATACATTGAATTTGAAGTTGTCTATATTAAAGCGTTGCCAAAATAATACTTCAGGACCAGAATCATTGTTATTGTCATAGTAAGTTAGAGGAAGTCACAAACTAGGAATTTGCTTTAGGATATGATGCAAGCAAGTTATTAAAAAGTACCAAATATATACGTATAAAGGGGGTCCCTAGGGTTCACTTGACGGACGTCTTAGAGCGAAGTAATGTGATTGGTTGATTAGATATTTATGCACAAGTGAAGATTCGGGCTTCCTGAGGTGATGCTGTCTCATACAATGCTAATGCTACAATGCTAATAAAATGCTTCTGCTCAGCCCTTACTAAACTGGTTTGTGCTCCCGGCTCGACAGGTCTTCACAGCATGGCCTTTCCTTTAACAGCTGCTGTCTAATCTAATATCACTTTCTTTCTTACGCTTTTCTTATTAACAACTAAAATGCTCCATGAGTCGTTTGATGTGTGTATGAATAGATACGAGCTGCATAAGGATCTATTATATCGTTTTTATATAGAAATCACATATACATCATTGTTTTAGTCGTAACTATCAGATTTGAACTGAGTAAAAACGTCGGCTTTCAGTGTATGTAATGTAAATAGTGAGTAGAAAAGTCTGAACTGCTGATCATTTTGAGGTGAAACTCGGGAAATTAGAATATTGTTCATAAAAGTCCATTTACTGCTGTGATTCCGCTTACAATGTGAAACTATACCATTTGTGAAAATTGGCACCCAGCTTTTAAAAACCTCAAATAAACTCAAATGGACTATAAGCCATAATACCTGAATTTGTCCTACGGGGATCAATAAAGTATCTATCTATCTATAAGCATCACATTATGTCACTTTTATGTAACTAAGTAATATTTATTTATATAGTGCATTTTTCAGACCAATGTCACGCAAAAAGAGTTCCCAATCTCAGTGTACTCATAATTTCCATTCACTCAACACACATTTTACATATATTTTAAATTAAATTACATAAATACATCTTTGAATATCATCCTACAACAATATAGGCACTTCAATCATCTAACTTGTCTGGCTTGATGTCTGAAAACATTTCAAAGAAAGTAATCCAAATTTAACCCGTATATAAGGATTTAAAACAGCCACTGAATCTCACACAAAGTGGTTAGACACGGCAGAACCATCACATGCATTTTGATCCAAAAAGTCTGTAATATAATCCGGATTACATTGCTCCAAAACTAGTAAAAAACCCGCAGTCTGCAAGTCGACGCAGACAGCAACAGTGTCTGCACCGATCCCAGTCCAAAGTTGTTGTGTGCTCTCTCTCCTCTCTGCTGCGCATGGATTCTCTCTCTCTGCCCCCAGTAAACTGCACCTCCCCAATGCGCCCCCTCCCCTAAACGAGGGGGAGAGCCTGGTGAGCCGAATCCTGCAGCTCGGTCCGCCGGGCTCCAAATTCCTGGGGTAGGCCTCTGCATATGAAACTATCCATGGATGCTCCCCCTCCCTCACCTGCCCCCCCCCCCCCCCCTCCCCCTCCCTCACCTGTGCTCCCCCCCACCCCCATCTGTGTCTCTGTGCTGTCCGTCCACTCCCATTTAGTTTTGTTGTCTTCACTGTCGGCTTCCTCAGTCTTTGCTCTGCTTTTTGCCCTCGTGTCTTTGTAATCAGTGTTGTAGGTAATAGGGCTGTGTATGTAGTGTTGTATTTGGTGTCACTAATGTATTTCCATGAGCACTATATGTATTTCCATGTGTGTAAAGCGTGTGTGCTGTGTCTGAAGGGTAAGGATGCTCTCTTAAAATATACACTGCAAAAAGGTGATGAAAAATAAGTCAGAAATTGCTCAAATTTGGCTAAATGTATCTTAATTTGAGCCGATTTTGACTGCTTTAAAACAAGAGCAAAAATGATCTTGCTTTGAAAAGATACAAGAAATTTCTCCCTTGGAATAAGAAAATAAAGCAACAGTTCTTGAAATAAGACTAAATGGCTTTGTCCCATTGGCAAAACTTGTTGTAAGTCAGAATAGACTCAAACTTGTTTGACATATTCTAACAAATTTGCAGTGTTAGACATATTCAAACTTCTGAAAATTAGTATTTTGGTCAATTTCAACTTCACTCATTGAATTTTCACATGGAAATGCATCATACATAGTCGTGAGGGGTGTGTCCATAGCATGATTGTGTTGCATCATCAAGTCACTACAGGTAAGTGAGGTAAGTGAGCTTTAAAGGAAACACAGGATCTTGGTTTTGCATCAGTGAGATTTGTGAAGGAGTTGTAAAGGGTGTGCCTCCATCAATGCACGAAAAGTAAGCGTATTGTCCAAATGAGGGGAAAAGTATTAGCATGATTTAAATTTATTATACAAATATCAAATATTATCAGATGCTACAACAACAAAAATGATTTATTTGGACTAATTGTTACACCCTGGTTCTAGAGGTGGAACACAAAGAAATACAGGCAACTAAAGATTAAGAGAGAGGGAGAGAGAGAGAGAGATACAGATAGAGGGAGAGGAAGGGAGAGAGAGAGAGGGAAAGGAAGAAAGAGGGAGAGGAAAGGAGGGAGAGAGATAGATAGAGAAAGGGAGAGGAAGGGGGAAAGGGGGAGAGAGAGGGAAAGGAAGGGAGAGAGATACAGAGAGGGAGAGGAAGGGAGAGAAATAAATATAGAAAGGGAGGGAGAGAGAAATAGATAAAGACTGATGGAGTCTGTCTTCTTAAAGCCTCCCAGCTGGAAAGTGGCAGCTCCACTTAACATAAACATATATAACATAAATAAGTAAGCCCAATGTAACCTGTGCCTCCGCTGTGTCCCTTTAGTCCTGTGATTGTGGAGATCCCTCACTTTGCGGCGCTCAGAGGGAAAGAGCGAGAGCTGGTGATCCTCCGCAGCGAGACCGGAGAGAGCTGGAAGGAGCATCAGTGTGAGCACACGCAGGAGGAGCTCAACCAGGTCCTCAACGGCATGGACGAAGGTCTGACCCCACCAACAGACACAGCACACACACCTGTTCAAACGACAGAGGGCGGGGGCTAGGACCTGGGGGATGCATGTTGAGTCGATGCTAGATCATCTCTATTGGGAATTGTCAGATTGGAAAAAGAAAACCAACATTATTAATGCAGCAGTTCTTGAAATGAGACTTAATGGCTTTGTCCCATTGGCACAGTCAGATGTTCGCTGAGCTTTTGACCATGCATTGACTGATACTGGTTGCTTCTTGCGGGACAAACAGTTAACAATACAAGTCAACCCATTTTGTGATAACTGTGATTTGAGAAAAGGAAATACTATTATCATTCCGTCCCCTATTATCAAGCCATATCAGATATGAGCCGATATTGAAATATTGCCCTATATAGAAACTTTTCATTGTATTAGTTGAATTAATATTGTATGACAAAATTCAGTTCAAATTGTTACGATGGTCCATTTTTCATGCTGTTGTGGGTGACAAAAAACCTGAATTTTCTCATTCCAAGTGAGAATATTCTTTCATTAGAAAATCTTGTGTTTATGGCCATCTCTCTTTGAACATTTCATTTTCAACAGTCGGTTGAAGTCAGGGTCAAGGCTTTTTTCCACCCATAACAAATCTGTGTATATACAATCAATCCATAAGTGCGAGAGTTCTAAACCTATTGCTCCGACACAGACCTGGACCCACCGGAGGAGCTGGAGAGGAAGCGCATCTGCCGCATCATCACCAGAGACTTCCCGCAGTACTTCGCTGTGGTGTCCAGGGTGAAGCAGGACAGTAACCTGATCGGTCCAGAAGGGGGAGTCCTGAGCAGCACCGTGGTCTCACAAGTTCAGGCTGTGTTTCCTGAAGGAGCCTTGACCAAGAGGATCAGAGTCGGCCTGCAGGTAACTATGGCATATTTAGAGCTGGGGTACCTACGTTTCCAACCACAACAGAGTAAAGGAAAACATAAAGGAAAAGTTCCGACTTAAAATAAAAATACATTATTATTGTGGGGACATTGGAACAAAGTAATATCATAAAATCTATCATAATTATTTATCATTCAAGTTTTCTTCTATCTAAAGTTTGCATGTATTTTAGCCTCTGTCACAGCTTTAGATCAGCTTTCTCGGACAGAAAAGTGGAAAAAAAGAGGACCAAAAAAGACAGCAAGTGGTGGTGGTCTGATGTGGTCACAAATGTTTTCAGGACTTTTTATGTTTTTTATTTTTATTTTATTTTTTTAAATGAGGTACCCCAGCTTTACTTAAGCTTTATGGGAAACATATCTGCCATTATAAAAAACATGTATATTTTTGTTTCAGTTCAATTGGATTTCAGCTTTTTTCTGTAAAGTTTGAGAGATAGATTGATTGACAAATAGAAGATTTTTGGGTAATTTTTATGGATAGTTAGTTATTTAGTTAGTTAGTTATTTAGCGAAATGCCTCAAAAATCTCTCTACATATTTTGGTCATTACCACCCTTTCTAGAGCCATACTTTCCACATATACTCGGATATATTTTCTCTCTTAACCCTGAAAAACCCAAGCCAAAAATATTTGTTGAAAAAAATGATCTGTGATATTTTTGGAAATAGAATTCAATTACCATTTTGGCAATGTAGCATATTAGCTTCTTTGTGTTCTTGGGTACATATATTATTGAATGCATTTAACCAAAAAGTCTTTCTTCTTTTGCCATAACCTTTTGAAATGTATGTTATTTGTAACCGAGGGTGCTCTCGGGTTAAAAGTACTAACACCACTAAACTGTAGCCCGTAACTAACTTCTTCCTTCTGCTGGTGCTAGTCTCACCCGGTGCCTCTGGACGTGGTGAGGAGGATCCTGGGAAACAAGGCCACGTTCAGCCCCATCGTCACCCTGGAACCCCGCAGGAGGAAGTTCCACAAACCCATCACCATGACGCTGCCGGTCCCCAAGACCAACGCAGACCCCATCCTCAACGGCTTTGGGGGAGACACGCCCACACTGCGGCTGCTCTGTAGTATCACCGGTAAGGACTCCAAATGAAATCCGCTCAGTCTATTAGTATGGTTCTGAATATATATAGTTCAAATCAGATCATTCTTTTATTGCTGTAGTCAGTCACAGGAAGTCAGAAACTATAGGAATTTTCTTTGGGGTATAGTTGATTTGAGAGGGACAGGGCACAGCAACAGATGAGTTTTGTGCCCTATTATCAGCTCGACAGCAGTCTCTGTATGGTGCAAAAAAATTCTACAGAAGTGAAAAGCAAATCTAAAGGTGTGCATAAAAAAAGAAAAACCATTACATTTGATGGAATTGATGGAAAGTGAAATTTTATATTGGCGGGATTCTGTTTCTGTGGCAACCAAAGGTTATTAACCAGTTACAAATCTCACAAAAATCTTTTAATTCAGTTCAGTCCAGATTGTTTATTTGAGCTCAGAGAAATACATAGAGTTGATGCAACAAGAAAGACAATGTGTGTGTAAGTGCAATATAGAGCTCAACAAAAGTGGGCAGAAATATCAAATACTTAAAAACGCTGCCTACCCCTTCATTGCTGTATTAAATTAAATGTTCTAAGTCAGAATAATGAAACAATTTTGATATCATGTCACAGATGTAAAGGCTGTGTTTTATGTTGCCTTCAGGTGGGACGACGCCTGCTCAGTGGGAGGACATCACAGGAACCACGCCATTAACGTTCATCAACGACTCTGTGTCCTTCACCACCAACGTCTCCGCCAGGTAACATCTACATCACCCTCCTGTACAGCTCTCTGTGGGGCATTTAAGTCAAAAAGTGCTTGAATTTGGCAAAATGTATATTTGAGCACATTTGTAACGCAAAAGGATCTTGTTTTAAAAAGATACGTCTGAAGAAATGTCTGCCTTATAAAATTAACTTGACCTTGCCTTTGAATAAGAAAATAAAGCAAGTTTTTGAAAAAAGACTAAATGGCTTTTTAATATTGGCAAATCTAGTTTAAAGACAGTCAGATTGTGCTCAGATTTTAAAAAACCCTGATACTGTAAGGATGTGTAAATGGGTAAATGTTTAGAAATTGGTTAAGGATTGTATAAAAATATGAAGCTGAAGCGCAAATTCAGACTGAAAGGCCGTGCCACAGCTCCCACCCCGTCCAGGGCCAGCCAATCACACAGCTCTGCCAGCCTCGAGCCTCTGCCAATCACACAGCCCGGTCAGCCTCTTGACAACCAACTGACAGCAAAGCGGGCAGTTTAAAAGCAGCCACTTTCTGATAAACAGGGCTTCCTGAAGCTCTTAACACCCACCGCCTCCCCAGCGCCTCCTCAAGCACCTGGTTCTTGCCCTGGCTCCTGCCCTGGCTCTTGCTCTGGCTCCTGCCGAGCCGGAGCCGACGCCCTATTCACACCATGGTTCTAGCAGCAAATGAGCTCCCCTCTGCAAGTGTCACTGCCGGGGTCAATGCGCCAAACAAATACATCTATTTCATGCATTAATGTTTCTGTCTTGGTCAGATTGAAATACTATGACATTTGTTTGCATGTATTGTTTAGTGCCTTTCATCTAAAACGCCTAAAAAATTTACACATTAGAATGTGTATGACTTGCCCGACTCTCTGGTTCGGTAAATAAAAACAATTGAATTGAACGTTTGTGTAAGCTCTCAGTCGTACAGGGATTAGTCAAAGCAAAGGAAGGTTTCTCACCCATCATCTGTACTTCTTAGCAAATTTTCCCGACGTCCTCAAACTAGTGGACTTCTTCAGGGAATGAATTCTCGGACCGCGCGTTGGAGATTTATAACCTATGGGTGTGGTTAGCCACACCCTAATCCTGATACTAACTCATAAACAATCTACGGTCTGCTTGATGTAGAAGGGAGCAGGTCTAACGACCCTGCTGAGGCTAACGACCCTAACTCCTTAGCATGTCACAGACCTGTTGAATTGAACATATTTGCTTTCAGATTCTGGCTCATAGACTGTCGGCAGGTGCAGGAGTCGGTCAACTTCTCCACTCAGGTGTACAGGGAGATCATCTGTGTCCCGTACATGGCCAAGTTTGTCATTTTTGCCAAGACCCACGACCCGATCGAGGCCCGGCTGCGCTGCTTCTGTATGACCGACGACAAGATCGATAAAACTCTGGAGAACCAGGAGAACTTCACGGAGGTGGCCCGCAGCCGGGACGTAGAGGTCAGTGGCTATTTTAAAGAGGAACTATGATGCTTTATTATTGGCAAATTAAATACATTACAATGGGAATGAGACTTTACGACTTTACTTTGCGATTTCCGGTTTTTAGAATGTGTGATAATATCTTAAGTTAGAAAAAATATATACAAGATAAGATTAACCTTTATTTGTCCTTCAGTATCAACTTTGCACATATTACAGAAGAATAAAAAGAGAAAATAAGAATAAACAATAGTGATTATAGACCAGAACAAACAATGGTTATAGTAAAACTGGTATTAGCAGCAGATAAAGTGACTATTGAAGTATCAGAACAGAATTATCAAATGATTGGAATATGTGTAATAATGTGGCAATAATATTAGTACATTAGTACGAAACAAGTATGAATAGTAAAAAAATAAAAATGCTTTCTGCCTGTAACTCCCAGTGCTACCACCAGAGGGAGTTGAATGTATTATTTTATTTTTTAACATAGCTGCAAACATAGCCATGTGATTGTAAAAAAACTAAAAACATAATTTTACTTAAGAAATTGCCAAAACTAATTAATAGGAAATACTTTGTGATGTCATAGTGGGACAATGACATCATACTATTACAGGACTCAGACTGTAGCTTTTAGACAGAAGGGGCGGAGCTACATGTTTGTGCCAGAGGCTAATATTGTTGTGGATAGATCTAAATAAAACACATCTTGTCTGTTTTTGATGAGGGAAAAATGTTGTCACTTGGCAACAAAAAACTCTATTTAGCATTTTTCTCCTTTAACTGATGGACCAATAGTGTATCACTTTTGAATGATGTTATTATTTACTGTCTGCTTTACTGTCTGCCTTGCTGTATCTGTCAATTAGTGCCATTTTGAGAGCCCCATTCAGAATCTGTCATATCATGGGGCTTATTCTTCAAACAAATAAATAAACTATATATAATTGTGTTGACCACCATGGCGTCTCTTCCTCAGGTCCTGGAGGGCAAACCTATCTATGCAGAATGTTTCGGTAACCTCGTCCCTCTCACCAAAAGTGGCCAGCATCATCTTTTCAGCTTTTTTGCCTTCAAGGAGAACAGACTCGCTCTTTTTATCAAAGTAAGCCATTGCTATCTCATGTAACGTGTTGTGTTTGTGCCCTTTATCGTCGGCTAACTTTGAGCTACTGTGTCCTCAGATACGGGACAACACTCAGGAGCCATGTGGACGCCTATCATTTTTGAAAGAACCCAGGAATTATAGATCGCTCACACAAAACGCCATATGTAACCTTAATATTACCCTCCCCTCGTACAGTAAGGTGAGAGCTTTAGTCCTATTGTAACATCCAATGACGCACTGGTTTTACCCAAGCAATATTTTTCTCATTCAAACTAAATGAATGAGAAAGCATTGGTCCAATAACATGGTCCAATGCTTTTATTTGACTTGCTTGGTTTTGGTTGAGAACTGTGTGTTTTTTTTCTGTCTCATGACAAACACAAAGCTCAAAACCAAGTCAATTCTAGCTCTCATTGTTGGGGGTCTTCCATGACGCAAGCCTGGTTACAAAAACATTGCTAACATTTCAAAGTGTGCATTCACAGAGCAGTAGGAGGAAGAGAGAGAAAGAAGAGAGAAATGTCGACCTTATATAAAGATATAGCTTTTCTGTTTACATATTTATTACTGATTCAAAACAAATAATTCAGTGCTAATGAATCCATATGTGTTGTTTGCCTAAAAGTTGGGGTACCTAACTTTGAAGCCACAAATAATATATGATAAAATCCATGTGGGTAGTTCCTTGCTCTCAAAACAGCCGGGTTCTATTACTAGTCTTCACCTTCATGTACTTTTAGCTTCTTTCACGTCTTTATATTACATTTTTAGGGAAAATATAGAATTACCAGCCCTCAATTAGCTCCCAGTATTTAGAGAATAACATGTTTTCTACTATTATGTTTTAGGCTGATTTGTTCACAAGATGTTACTCAAACAAGACAAACGGTTTGGTACTCCAGCTTTAAAAGAACCCTAGCTTGATTTTTAATCTGTAGATTTGGCTTCTCCATGGAATGCCCTCTTGCCCTCACTGCTTGAATCGCTATGATATTACATTTTGTTATTTCATCTGTACATTTTTGCTTCTTGCTTCAAAAGGATTCTGACTCTGACCAAGATGACGAGGTAAACGCTGCCTCCGCTTCTCCATCACAAATGTTACAATAAGGCACTCACCAAACTAGACCTCGCTTACAGTCACCTGTGTCCAATGCATATACAAGACGGTTTTGCTGAAATAGTAATGTATTATTTTCGTTTTTGTTTTTTACAGAATGGCAGAACGCAGGAGAAATGTAAGACACCTAATCCGTTGCTTTTACTGATATATTTGATGCATGAAATTGCTAAAACTAATTTAAAAAAACTGTAGTATTAGTATTATCAGGGTCACATATTGAGTCCAATGTACACACACATTCATTCACTCTCCTAAGCCTTTTAAGCTTCCTAGTTTACTCACAGTGTCTTCCTTTCCCATTTTACTTTTAATCTAAATCATAACATCCTCTTTATGTTTTGTTTCCCCTCCTTATACTTTGCTTTCTACTGTAAACACCTGTGCCTCTTCAAAAATTGAGATGGGAAATTCTGAGACAGAGTTAAAAGCTCCCAATTACGTATGTGTATTATGAATTCCCATTAAAGGCGCTATACCCGTTTCTGCAAGGTTTGAATGTTTAGCACCGCCCCCCCAACTCGCTCAATGGCTTCTCATTTCCCCTTCGCTCTCATAACATAGAGCCATCTAGCTCAATTTGCGATCTGACATGTATGCTAACATTAGCATTAGCAAAACTTCTTGTAAGCTTTACAACAATCACAGATGAAATGGTACTAAAGCAATGCACTGCTAACACAATTTATAGGTAAAAGAATACTGCTTGTTTCGCATCCGAATGTATTCATTAAAACATTAGAATATATTCGAGTAATTATAATTTATTATGCAGCTTCTCACACTCCATTGACTTGAATGTAATTCTACCGATCATTTTTTCTTTAACAGAACTCTCAAATCAATAATGACCGCTGCCCTTTGACAATGCAATCTCTGTTTGTAATTCAGGTGTGTAAAATACTGCCATTACTCCGCAAGTACAACGAGAGAAACTAGCGTAGCTAGCCACGCTCAATAAACAACTACATATCTATTAATCAACACCATTGAACGTCAATCGGACAATACAGTATACATATACATCCTTAACACACATGCACGGACGATTTCAGAATTTGCTGTCAACGTTTTCATGACAAAAATACTGTTTTAAAGTGACAAAAAGTTACCATGAAACAGCTAGCTAGCTTAGCTGTTACCTGCCTAGCACGTCCCGGTGAAACCTTTGGGAGCTAACTATTTTATTTGCAGTCATTAAATACATTTCGAATTATAAGGGCTGTCTAATATTTGTTCGAATATATATATATATATATATATATATTATTTTAGAATTATATTCGAATTTTGAAGTCAAAGCTCTGGTGTTAGGCAGCGCTGTAGGGGCCAGAGGACGCAGGCTGGTCGCTCCTTGTTCTGTGAGTGGAGGAGAACGAGCGGCCCGCTCAGACTCTACTCAGCACTTTTCACGGCATAAATTTCATACACAGCTGAATCAATGACCTCATGTTTTCAATTAAATTATGAACTACTTAGAAAAAAAATCGGGTATAGCTTCTTTAAAGGTATCAATCATATAAGACTGGCCTTTGTGTTTCTAACTTGACAAAATACCCAAGAGTATTTTGATGTTTTCCAAGTTGTTAAGGAACAACTTAGTCGTGATTAGGAGGCCAGGTCAGAACGTGTTTGTAGAACAGTAAAGCAAACAATTAAAAAACGCAATTCATTCATTGTTTTTGATTTTGTTATTTACATTTCCCTGTTCAGTCCTGTTCCTTACCCCTTTCATCTCCTCCTGCTTTTGCTTTGCATGGAAATAACTTGCCTAACAAATGAATGTGTGCTTGGTTGCATTGTTGTGTGTATAATACAAATAATCTGTAGCCTTGTTTACATATTTCACAACTTTTTTTTTTTCCATCACTGGCTTTCATTACAGTGTAGTGCAATTACCTAAACATTCATCATTCATTTGAGCAATCTTGAGATTTTGTTGTCTCATTCAGTTATTTCCTTTGTTGTAAATTGGTTAGTTTTGGTTAATAGCTTATGTGTGATTGTTCTGTGTGTAAAAGCAAGTTATTTCCAGCGTCATCCTCTCCCATTGATTTGACTCATGTATTGTTTTTGCTTTGCCACAGACACAGTACAGTGCGCACATGAGACCTTGATCCCTTGATGTTAGGATCCTTGTGACTGTTGTCCTATGAATCCTTTTTGCTCCAATCTTATCCTGACCCACTTCTCCTTTGTCTGTCCTTTCATTTGAATTTTTGATTTTCTTTACTCCTTACTTGTCCGTCTTCCTTATGAAAGATGAAGAGACAGTGCTGAAATCAGAGCTGATGCGAGAGCCAGACCTTCTATCCGACGTGTCAGAGATGAAACAAGATTTGATCAAAATGACAGCCATCTTGACTGCAGACTCTGCTGGAAAATCCCCTTCCCTGAGGTCGTGTGGTCTAGAAAAAGGCGCTGAGGAGGTTTCTGGAGAACCGTTAGACATTATGGAGAAAGACCTGGAGGGGGTCAAGGAGGACCTTGAGAAAGTCAGTGAAATTCTTAGAAGTGGAACTTATGACAATGAAGAAACTGATGAGGGGGCTGCCAAAGTAAATCAAACAAGTGAGGAGTGGGTCCTTCTCTCTGACAGTGAGATAGCAGAGGCTAAAACAATGGCAGCCGTTCAATTACAGGAACCAGTTTTACGTGAGACTAGAGCTAACAGAGGCGCTCCGAGGCCTAAAGCCATAAAAGACAGTGGTGACCTAAAGGAATACCTCCTTGATGCACCAAGCAGCTCCAAAGTGAAAGCTAAAAGAGAGTCCGCTTCACAAAAAAGTACCTCAACCAAAGTGCAAGAAGTAAGTAAGTCTAGTGACATGAAAAAGCCACTGCGGAAGAAGGGGAAAGAGGATGGCACAGATCATTTAAGCGTACCTACAGAGCCTGCTAAAACATCTCCTGTTTCACCTGTGGTTGAAGAAACACCTATTGGCTCAATAAAAGATAAAGTCAAAGCCTTACAGCAAAAGGTGGAAGCAGAACAAAAAAACAAGAAGTCTTCTGGAGTCAAGGCTTCCCAACTACCCGTAAGCAAAACCCCTTCAAAAGCCAAAGAAAGCCCTAAAACTAAGCAAGGCCCACCAAAATCTCCTAAAGCTGAAGATGAAAAACTAGAGGAGACAATGTCAGTGAAGGAGCTAATGCAAGCCTTCCAGACAGGCCAGGATCCTTCTAAGAGAAAGTCTGGGCTATTTGAAGTAAAAACTGTTACCTCAAAAACAGAAAAAACCACAAAATCTGAAATGGCCCCATCTAAAACTACAACCAAAACAATAACCTACCATACCTCTCAAGAAAAAGAACTGTCTTTGGACTCAAAACCTCACATGAAAAAGACTATTCAATCTGACAAAGCGAAGCAAAGTGCACCATCAGAACTTGTAGAAACTGTCGACTTTGGAAACGGTGGCCTTGACGACAGCCCTGACAGCCTAAAACACGAGGGTGCTGCTGAATCACTCACAAGTGCCAGTTCTGCAGATGGGACTCCTCACCTCAGTTCTGAGGAGAGCTGCAAACATGAGGGTCTGGCTTCTCCAGGTAGCAGTCCTGAGAGTATCAGTATTTCACCTCAAAACAGACAGACCACTTCCTCCGTATCTACAGCAAAAATAGATTACACTAAAGATGCAGAGAAATCTGGAGACTCTGGTCTAGGGACTTCTGCTGACCAGTTGTCTGCTGAGCGGACTCTCCCTGTGTCTTCAAGCGAAGCTGCAGATGATCACACAACAAGTGAGTCCATATCTGTTATGAAGAGCCAATCAAAGCCAAGTAAACCTCACAAGCTCACAAAAAGGGTCTCAGAGACAGTAGAATCATTTCTTAGTGATGATGAGAGTCCTGATCGTCAGCTAGATATATCTCCATTTGGTTATACAGTGCCTAGATCCTCCTCTCAGCGCCAGGACAGTTTAGAGCTGCCTTTAAAAACAGACTCAGATGTTCTCAGCCCATTAGCTGATGACTCCTACACAATAAGCCACAAAGACTCTCTAGAAGGTAGTCCCCTCATGGAAGAGGCCTCCTCCCATAAATCCCCTGACTCCATAGAACCTAGTCCCACCAAGGAGTATCCACCGCATGACTCCTTAGAGGGTAGTCCTGTAGAAGATACAACTCTCCTTTCCTTTCCTCAACAACTAGAGCCACCCAGCGCCGCTTCTAGACTGTCAGAGCCTTCTGAGCCTAAAGAATCCCTCCAAGATGCCTTACTTTGTAGACCGCTAAAGGACCGTGATCCTAGTCCTGATGATGACAGTTGTGAAAAGACATCTCAGATGACAAGTTCTGGTAAGACTCCCATCACCTCCAAAACCCTTAGTTCTGAAGAGGTAAGTTATGAGGTCACTCCCATCCCCCCTGAGCACACATTATTGTCTGTCCAAATCAAATCTGCTGTCATCCCTGAAGACACGGATGAAGACGACAGCTCAGAAGCTAAGAGAAAGATCACCCCAGAGGAAGAAATGTTTAAAATGGCAGCCAAAATAAAAACATTTGAGGAAATGGAGCTTGATGCCAAGAACAAAAAGAATTCTAGGAAAGATAATCTCACAGAAGAATCAGGGGATGACAGCCATGACATGTTAGAAATGAAAAGTGAGAAACTTCCACAAAGTGCCTATGGTCTCAACAGGCCAACAGAAGATTCAGTCTTAGCTACATTTGTTGAACCCACTATTAAAATACAACCTCCCTCTTTTTCAGCAGGTTTGCATGATGGATCCAAGAGAAAAGAAGTCACTAACACAACATCCACCAAATCAGAGGGACCTCATTCTGTCTCAGATGTCAATAAAGCAACTATTGAGGACAAGATGAATGACTGTGAAAGGATCTCAACTGATAGAGTGAAAGACATTAATCAATTTGATCACAACACATCTACTGCTACAACAACAACAACAGCCAAATCTGATAATAAGGGTCAAAGTAGTACAGCAGAGGCACCAAGAACTGAGTCAAAAGGTGTTACTGCTAAAGCAGACCCTAATTCATGGACTTCAGAGTGTGGGGATGTTGCTGCTTTTGCATCTTGTGTTCAAGAGGAAGAGCAAAGAATATTGAATCTTGTTGTTGATCGCCAGTCTGTCCAAGTCACACCTGACACAACCCCTGGTAGAACACCTACTGAAGAAAGCACGCCAACCAGTGAGCCCAATCCTTTCCTTTTCCAAGAGGGAAAGCTCTTTGAGATGACTCGTAGTGGAGCAATTGATATGACTAAAAGGAGCTATGAGGAGGAGGGGGGTGGTTTTGCCTTTTTTCAAATTGGGGATCAATCTTTAGAAGATGAAATTCCACCTCAGGAGGTCCAAAGGCCGGCCGCTGCAGAGGATGAGGTTGGCCTTAATCTAACACTAGAGGTTAAGATTGAGGAAGATGAAAAGACGAATAAAGAAAGTAGTGAACTTATTGCACCCATACCTAAAAGCACTGAAAGTTCCAATAAGGTTGATGCCTCAAAATCCAAAATACCTAAAATGGGGGCATCGACTTCAGCCAAACCAAAGAAAGATCAATCATCTGATGGTCCACAGACAAATTCAAACAAACATTTAATTGAAACATCTGTAGAAATAGATAATAATTCATCTGGTCAAATGATAACGAATGTTCAAACTGCTGAAACAACGGTTACAAGATCTGTTTATTCAGAACAGGGACAAGAATCTTCTGATTCTTCACCAGAAGAACAACAGGTTACACTAGAAAGTACCAAAACCTCAGTAAAACCAAAGGAAGCTAGTAGCTCTCTTAGTGTTAAAAAGACTCCTGTTAAATCACAAGTCAAACCACCCTCACAAGTTCGGGCTAAAACCACTATCCCATCCTCCTCGGCTGGTAAAAAAGAAGCCCCATCAACAGAGTCAAAATCTAAAATTCCCATAAAGTCTAGTAGTCAAAAGGTCGATCTCTCCACGAAACACACAGACACTGTGCAGGACAAGAAGCTCAAGCCACCTGTAAAGAAGGACTCAAGGAGGAAATCTGAGACAGATGCTGGTCCCTCTGTAGAGCTGAAAACAAAGACATCTTCTCCCAAAGCTAAGAGCTTCTGTGAAGGAGACTCCACAAAGCCATCTGCTAAAAAGGATCAGGGTCGTCCCTTAAGTGTTGAGTCAGCCAAGTCCAAAGGTTTCCAATCAAAACTGCCTGTCAGAGGCAAAAGTGGCCAACCAACACCAACCACTGAGAAACGTATGGCTGAAAAACAATCTCTTGAATTCTTTGAAGAAATAAGTGATGAAGCTGCAAAAGTTGTCGAGCGGTCGGCACAGGCACAGACAGAAAAGGAACTAGAGGCAGCTGCTGCCAACTCAGATGATGAGAGCAGTCTTATCGACCCGTCTGTCCTAGAAAGGGACGCCTTCACTGAGATGCAGTTCCCTCCCTCAGGAGCCGTCTTTCCCATTAGACCTCTTTGGGATGACCCTGTTGAGACACAGATGCAGCGAATCCCAGATGATAAAGTCTCAAGTCAAGGTATCCCCCCTGTTTAAGGGGCTATTCTCTCTCTTGTACCATTAGATATTTTAGCTGTAAAGGTGCTGCCTCTCTGTCTCTTGTAGTTGATTCCCATTGTAGTGGAAGAATCCTTGTGGTCGTCCATGCAGCTGTCTTGCTGTTTGTATTTATGTGTTTTTCCTAATGTGCTAAAATCTCAAGATTGACTTAAAGGCTTGACGTAATTGGCTTATCTTGTTCTTAGGCAATAGTTTGCAACATGAAATTCTGAGTAGTATTAGTTTTTTTTCTGAGATTTAAACTGTACAATAATTTAGAATTACATTTTTTAACCTTTTGGGCATCGTTGCGAGGTAATTTTTTGTAGCACAATCAATTAGGGACTATTTCTACTTTTTTTTATTAATTTACCGTATTCTGGCATTACTGTATTTACAGTTCAACTACAAATGATCAAAGTTGAAACAAATTATGTTTTTATTATCCTTTTTAAATTATAATTTGAAAATAAATGTTTAGGCCTCTGATGTTCTCAAGGTTAAGAAAGCCAGTGAAGATTATGTTTAGTTTGAAGATTGTCTGACATTGATGGCTTATGACTATCTGCTGGTATTTGCAGTAGATCCACAGGATGAAGCAGAGAGGCAAGAGCACAGGCTGGCCATAATTGCTGATCATCTGGGCTTTAGTTGGACTGGTGGGATTTACAATATTCTAGTTCTCATTCAGAAATTGAAATTCCTATTAACTGCATTTGTTTTGTATGTGTTTTGTACAGAGTTGGCACGCGCACTGAGCTTCAGTGAAGACAGGATAAATCTAATCAGGGCAGAATACCCAAACTCATTGCAAGATCAAAGCCACGCCCTTTTAAGACTTTGGGCAGAGCAGGAAGGAAGCCAAACACCTGGTAAAAAAGAGAATATATTATTTCATTTTGGACAAGATTTATACGTTATTGTTTTTCTATACAGAAACTACATTAATCAAAAGACTTACTTCAATTAACCGTATGGACATAGTTCATCTCATTGAAACCAAGATAATGAAATCCACTCAGGATGAAACATCATCACAAACCTATGCAGAAATAGAACAAACCATATCCCTCGATCACAGTGAAGGTATGAAAGAGATCTAATGTCAAAATGAGTCTACTCTTTGACACAAACTCCCTAATTCTGTGTTTTCCTCAAATGTATTTCTGTCAGGTTTCTCTGCTCTTCATGAGGATATTGACAGTCCAAGGCCAGGTCGACGGACAGATAATACTTGTAGGAGTCCAGGCACAGGACAAAACATCCCAATGGTGTCCTCAGAAGACCTGTCCTCTAGCTGGTCATCACTCCCAGAAACAACAGGGCGAACTGAAACAGACCTTATTAGAAGTGTGCAAAAGGGAAGAGTACAAAAAGAGATGGACAGGTGAGTGTTTTCTTTGCAATAAGTTTTTACTATGTGATTCAGACCTTTTGTCTTTAAGTAATGTTATGCCCTCTGAACCTGGCATTTTTAATTACTTCTCACGATCCTCTTCTTTTGCAGTTCATCCCAAGAAATATATGAAGAAGTTGGAGACCCATCATTCCACACAGGAAATTTGAAACAAGTAAGTCCTTTCTTCACTGTGTACCGAACATCCCCCTACAACCTCCGATCCCTTGCCATTGATCCTGTGTATAAAGGCGGGCCCAAGCTATGTGCACAGGTTGTTCCATCTCCTGACATTACCATTGATTCAAGTGAAATTGAAGGGGCTGAGGGATGTGAAGGAGCGGAGGAGGGAGAAGATTGGAGTCTTGAGTGCCTACGAACAGGGTACACCGAACAGAATCCACAGAACTTGCCATTAATGACTTGGAGAGATTCTGCCAACATCTCAAGGACTGGTGTATGTGAGAGTCGACCACTATCACTCACTGACTTTGAACATACATTGACTGAATGTGAAGAAGCTGATCAGGACTTCAGAAAAGTGTCTATGGAGTTCATGGATAACACTGAGCGTATAAAAACAACAACTAGTACAGAATCAATTACTGGGGCTGTTTCCAGTCTTGAAACAACAACAGATGACCCAAACACGACAAGACACATGGAAGAAGTTTCACAACGCCTCTACAAAGTTCTGTACGGCTTTAACGCCAACGAAAAGGACTCTGCCAGCACCGCTCACTCTGAACAAGTGATTCCTTCTGAGATTGGAAGCGTTGAGAGAACTTTGGAATGCATTGATGCGGTTTCAACAGATTTAAGAGCTGTCTGCTCTGAAATGTTACACAGTAGTACCCTTGAGAAATTTGATTATGTTGATGATGCAGTCATTCAGTTAAAAGAGTGGAATTCTCTTGAGCTTGAAGACCCCTGGACCCAAAATCGGTCGCTTGAAACATATATCTCTGGAGCTTGCGGGGGATCCATTAATGAAGATGCAGATCCAATGGCTGATGTTTTAGACATATTCTATAGCAGATCATCATCTTTATGTGATTCACCTTTGGTCATGGATAGTTCAATTCTTTTTGATCCAGATGCCATCCTTACTGAGAGTAGAGGCTCTTCCCCTGAGTCTATTTCATCACTAAATGAACTCATGATGCTTCCACCAGATTCTCCTGTTCCTCATTACAGACCTCTTTCTCCCTTACCTCCCCCAGATTTACCATGGGAATCTGGGGAGGTATGGTCATCCAGTAAAGCACAATCCATTCTCTGCGCTCGTGCAATAAAGACAGAACCCGAGGAAAGACCATTAACACCGATGATTCCAAACAAAACCCCATTTGGAAGGCCTGTTTCATCATGCAGCATCTATAGTAATGAAGCCTCTGAGTCAACACAGGCATTAACTTTTGACATACACCACAGAGCATCATCTCCTGGGTATACCAGACTAGAAATGTTTAGGTGGCTTTTTAAATCTAGTGAGGAAGCAATCTTTTCAGAATATAAAAATGAGTCAAGACCATCCTCTCCTGAATCAATAGATCTTACATGTACACATCAGCTTTCCCCTGAATCTCCTATACCAGAGTTTAGGCCAAATATCGCTGAGACCATTTCTTATCCTACATGTCGATCTTCATCTCCCGGGTCACTCTTATCAGACTCAGATTTTGAGGCTGAACACTCATGGCATTCCTCTTGCCAGTTTAGACCATCATCCCCAGAATCCATATCATCAGTTGATGGATATAGACCACTGTCTCCAGATTCTCCCATTCCTGAATTTAGCAGAGATTGGCCTGATTCTGTGTTAGCACCCATTGGTGAGAGGCCAACCTCACGGGAGTCGTTATGTTCAGAGATAGAATTTAGCATAAACTCTCCTTCGTTCTTTCAGGACAATGACAGGCCATTGTCCCCTTATTCTGTTTATTCTGAAGATGAACCCATGACACAGCCATTTTTAATTGTTCATGACATTACATGTACTGAATGCATCACAAGTGACGATCAAATGATGGAATCAGCATACGATGACTTTGCAGATGAGTTTGTTCCAAGCAACACAGCCATTATAAATGATGATAGGCATCAACAGTTAGATAGGCCAGGGAATACACCAGATGCATTCCCTGGCCAAACAGAACCATATCCTTATGCACCTGCAGGTGAAACGACTACAGAGGTTGAGAGACTCATGTCACACAAAGAGTCTACTGTAGAAAATCTGGAAAGTGAGAAAAAACATGAGAGGGAGCATGATGTGTTTCTCTATGAAATGGAGCACTCTCAAGGAATGGCAGAAATACAACACCTGCCTTATGCAGCAGAACAAGTTGGTTCCGTAGAAGCGCATGCAAAAAGGCGACTATCACCAGAATCTGACACAGAATACCAATCTTTTTCACATGAAACACTCAACTATATAAGTCTAATGAGGTCTGAATCACAGGGCTCAAGGGATTCTATTGATGAGAACAAACCTTTGTCTCCAGACTCCCCTCTCCCTCATTTTGATACCTGTGTTTGTGAACCATATTCTCTTTCACTTTCAAGATCACCATCTCCTCATTCTGTGTCAGATACTGAAGCAGAGTTATTTGATGATGGTGTTTTTGACATCAAGTCAATGACATCATCTCCAGAATCGGTTATGTCTGGAATAAAACGTCCACTGTCTGCAGACTCTCCAATTCCTGACTTCATTAATGCATTTAGTAATTTGGCTGTTGGTAGGTCCTCTTCCCGCGAGTCAGTTTCTAGTGAAGGCAAAGATTTGGTTGAGTTTTCACCAGCCGATTTCAATTATAATGAGAGGTTGTCTTCTCCTGAATTAGCCAAATTTCAGACAAGGCGTCTTAATGATCAAGATGCATTTGTGCCTATTTTAAATGAACCAACTGTGGTTCAAGGAAAACAAGCTGGTTGGCAAAATATTTCTAACCAGCCAGGTTTTGAACATCAAGTATATGTAACAGACAATTCAGAGTTATCATATGATGGTGAACATTGGAGGCTCATTTCCCAAATCCATGATCCCCAGTACACAGGGGAAATATACATGTCCAAAATTGGTGTACCTAAAATCACTGAGACAGATGGCCAGACAGAGCTAACAGACACAATTTCACAAATAGAGATGAACCAAATGTCTATTACTTCAGACTTAGAATTTACCCCATTACTTGAAGATTATTCCCCTCTGTTATCAAAGTCTATTGACAGTCACTTAGCATTATCAGCTGACACCCCTATAAGTAAGTTCACAAGCCTAGAGTCAGAATTTTTTCAGCATACATTTTCAGTTCCACCAGAATCGCTAGCCTCAAATGTTGATGACTCACCTGATTTTAACAATGTGGTGGGTTTCGATGAAAGAACACAATCTCCATCTTCAGTGTCGTCAGCTCTTTTGTCAGCAGATTCACCAGTGCCTGATTTCCAGCCCAGTTTACCAGAATTTGTTCATTGTGGAATGGATAGGTCTTTACATGAAAGAACTTCCTCGCCTGTTTCGATAGGCTCAGGTGTAGATCTGTCTTCTGCTTCCCCACATCACTTCAGTATTTCAAGGCCTTGCTCTCCTGAATCTATTGATTCTGGAGATAGGTTTGGAGTTGATTCACCATTACCTGACTTTAGTGCAGTGCCTCAAACTACAGAATGTCATGCAATTATCACAGACATACACTCCTCCCCTACATCCATATCAGATGATGAATGTGACCAAGGCATAGATATGGATATTCATAGACCCAACTCCCCTGAGTCACAAGCTTCAGAAACTAGAGGCAAAACATATCATCAAAACCAAACATTAAGGGCTGTCAGAGTGCCAGTGTATAAATTAGTTTATGATGCTGAACTTTGGAAGCTTATTTCACACATACATGACCCCCAATATGTAGGCGAAACATATAGCAGCAAGACAGGAGTTTTTGAGTATGTCGGAACAAGAATTGAATATATTATGGAAGATGCTGGTGTGATAAACGAACAGTTAGCTCAGACCAGATTGGTGAATATTTTGGACCCATCTCAGTCACTAGCATACCAACAAGATCAATGTCTTGAGTCCAAGTCAGAAGCTGAATACAGACAGAAGATTTTAAGATCTGATTCTCAAGACACGGCAAAATCTGTTAATGAGCCGGAAGTTTTTCCCTCAGATTCCCCGATCCCCCAGTTTGACTGTTTCATGCCTGAAATGTATCCAATTAAACCTTTTAGATCACCGTCGCCAAGATCTGTGTCAGACTCTGAACTAGATAGTTCAGATGTAGATGATGTTAATGTTGTCCCAAGGCCGTCCTCTCCTGAATCTGTAGAATCAGTCAATGAGCATAGACCACTGTCAGCAGACTCCCCAGTACCAGATTTTAGACGTGACTTCCCTCTGGACCTTGCTGAACATGTATCACTGTCATGTGAATCACTTTCATCTGGAACACCAGACTCAATGTCCGATTGTAGACCTATGTCACCTCAGTCACTTTTCTTTACTCCAAAGAGAACTCTGTCTCTAGATTCAATAACATCACTTACAGAATATAGGCCCTTATCCCCTGATTCTCCTGTACCACAGTTTGGAGACAGTGATGTAGTAAATGTAACATTCCAAGGCAGCAGGTCGTCTTCACTTGCTTCTGTAGCAACAGACATTGATCTAGAGTGCTCAAATATTTATGAGCCACGAGCTGACACACCATCCTCAGATTATGAATTTAGTGGCACTCTACCTGAGTCCCCCATACCTGCATTTGGATTTGATATTAGTGAACCTATTTCGACCACACGGTTGAGCCCCGACTCTCCTGTTTCTGCTTCTTATTCAGACTTAGAATATGGAGATGAGTTGTTTGAGGAGCTTGATCTTCATAGAGCATCCTCTCCTGATTCAGTGTATTCAAGAAATGGAGAAGAAGCTCTGTCACCAGACTCGCCCATTCCCCAATTTGAAAGTAAATTAGTTGAACGGTTTCCATCCTTTTTTGGCTTCAAGACGGAGCGGCAAAAACATGCACCCACATCTGAGCGTGCAGCCTTAGTAAGCAGTGTTTCTTCAGGCCCCTTGAAAGTTAATATTAGATCATCAGTCCCTGACACGAGAAACGCCATGACATTGTCTCCAGATTCAATACAACAGACAACTCTAGAG